AAAAAAAAAAAAAAAAAAAAGCAAAAATCAAACATTCATGAACACTGCTCATTCTCTTCTCCATCGTAAACAAACATCTACTCTACTCCCTTCACCTGTGACAAAACTTTAAAACCACTCTATATATACCCACACATTATCAATAATCTAGTCCAACCGACGCGTCCTCGATAAAATCGAACAGACGCTCCCCAAGCATGGCTATCCCACGCGCCCTCTTCAGTACGAGAGTGACTCTCACCACTACACCGGAGCTACAATGTCCCGCGGAGGTCTTCAGCTGACTTGGCCAACCCCATAGGGTACATCCCCATGATCGGGTACCACCATATTATCATGGTGGTCTGCTCGATTGCGATAATTCTTCTATGTTAGTAGTTGTTGGTCAACGTCTGCAATCGATGAGCGATAATGTTAGTTAACAAACTGCAGCAATCGTCCTCGCCGGATGCACCTCTACCAACGGCCTGAGCAACGTGTACCTGGTCTCCCTCAAATATAGGGACATCAACGCGCCGAACCCAGTGGATCCTGCGATGGTCAATCCTGGCATCGCGGACAAGGTCTACAATGTGACGCAGCCTCGCAATGCGGCCATCACGGAGATCCGCGCTGCGTATATGGGTCTTTGTTTGATTCGGAGTGATGGGTTGCGGTTTTGTTCCAACAGCGCTGAAGCGCTGGCTAGCTTGGCCAAGGAGATTGGGAACTCCACTGCGGATCCGCTGAATCTGATATGGATTGCGAAGCGGTTTAAAGATACGATGGTTTTTGATGGGCTGATGTAGGTTTTCTTTTCTTGGTGTCTTTCTTTAGTCTACTCTACTCGTCCATCCCCCAAGGAGGGTGCAAATGCTTAAACGCCGCAGCTTCATCGCCATCATCTTGACCTTTATATGTTTCGTTTTACTATGGACTTTTCCAGGATGGCACGAAGAGGTCAATGCCGAAGGGTCAGAGGTCGAAGTCAAGCCCTTCCCGTCCAGGCCTGTGTCGCAGGCCGCGCTAGGGCTGATAGCACTGGGCTTCATGTTCGGGCTGATCTCGATTCTGTGGCAGCACATCAACAGCAGTGCTGCGGGAACGATGGCCGAGGGTCTGACGTATGGCGCCGTCGAGAGCCATGTAGGGATAGCGGCCGTGGTGCTCGGATGGGCTGCGGTGGTGTGCATGGGCCTTTCGACTTTCGCGCTTCTGATCATGATTTGGAGTATTGCGTTGATTCGTGTGCTGACGGATGACGACTGATATCGTTTTTCATGTATGTGTGCGAACATTGGGCTTATTTTGATTAAGCGGACCCCTCGGGTGGCATGTACCTATTGGGAAAGTTGGGTTGTCAAAATATGATTAGTTTATTTAGCAACACGGCGGCGATGTTGAAACATAGAATAACTTCTGGTTGTAGGATCTGGCCACAACGAGCGTAGTTAACTGGGATCAAGGTAAGGTTCTGAGGACCGGTCCGTCTCGTCGGAAGCACTCCCTCGCGCATATCGGGAGGTTCCAGAAAAGAGTAGCCCCATGGAGAGGATGGCAGCGCCCAAGAGCAGAATGATTACAATGGCTGTGGTAAGACCAGCTTTAATCCCCGTTGCCAACGGTCGCGTCCATATGAGCGCTAGTGGAACGATGAACAAAGCCGCGATCCCAAGGCCACCAAGAAGGAGGAACCGGGTGGTGCGCGGGATGCGCTTGAGCAAACCCATTATGAGCACTGGAAATGCGCTTCGAAACTCGGGCTCCGAATTTCTCCAGTATGGAATCCCGACGAGAACCACAATTGCAATAAGGATAGGAATAGTAACCGTGGTCTGCACACCGTGATCGAGGTTTCGAGTCCACAAGACAGAAAGTGGTACGACTGCAACAAGGCCGACAAGCGTAACCAAGCTGATTGGGAATCCAACGACCTCCCATAACCGCACACCAGCCCTGCGACTGTGTCGTGTTATCCACACCGAGGTGAACTTACTGCTGCGTTTGACGACGCTCCCAGACCACTGGAGGAGCAAAAGCATCGATAGAGACCGGACCTGCACAGGGAGACTGTGCTGCTCCGCGTACCGTCTAACATCGAGCTTAACACTCTGCTTCACGTTGGAGAGCCACTGGCTGCGCATAGTCAGGCGCATTAAGTACGCAAATGTCGTCACAGAAATCGCCACGACGAGGAAGTTCCATAACGGGACCGAGTCTTCGAATGGCTTGATTTGCATCCCAAATATGGACGTAGAGAATGATAAAGGGATGAAGAGGAAGGCCAGCTCGGTGAGTCTAGTTACGGCGTGAGCCTCATCGATCGAGCGTCGACTGTCGAGAAGGCCCATGTTGGACGTCAATGCCGCAGATCCACGACGGAGCCGGTCTAACATCTTGTCAATTTCCTGGAAGAGATCTGATACGTCGCTGCTGATATCATTGTCATCCAAGGCGATTGAAGGCGTATCTGGTATGTGCGTAATACCGAAATAACCCAGGAAGCTCTTGGTTGAAGTCTTTAGTTCGGTGAGCTCTTTTTCTGCCTTCTTGATGAGTTGACGCCATAAAGCTAGCCGATCTTCCATTTTGGTGTCATCGAGAAGATCGGTATCCATGTCACTCAAGATCTGGCCCAGCACCTGGAGCAAGGTTGACGTGTCTTTTCGGATAATCCCGAACAGCATGTCAAGTAGACTGACCTCTATACCCTGTCTATCCATTATCTCAGCAAACTCCTGGCGCGTGGATCTAGTCTCGGTGAGCTCCTTTTGAAGGGTGCCCACATTGGACTCGTCGTATGCAAAGAATGCCTCCTCTAGATCAATGGTGATGGACCTGCGAGGGGCCATCTGCTTGACTAGTACCTGGAGGCTTGTCTTAACATTGACTGTTTCCTCGCTGATCTTGGGCTTGCGCCGTCTGTGTAGCCAGCCTAGCACTGGTCGTCGTTCCGTTTCTCGCCGCGGGTTCTCGATCGGAATCTCTAGTCGCTCGACTGTATCATCGCCGTCTATTATTATTATTGGCTGAGTCCTCGTTCCATCGTTATTGCCGTTGTCATGATCTTCATCATCGCTCAGGATGTCGCCATCATCTGTAATAGCATCGCTTTCCTGAACTCGCAATGTTATGTCATGACCAACACTAATCTTCGGTAAAGGGTCAAGCAGTACAACAGCTTCGTTTCCGGTCAGTATAACCAGAATTTGCCGCGCGGGTCTGAAGACTGACCGATCTCATATCCCCTGTTCTCGTCATACCTTCTCCAGATTGACGCTCGTTCCACTAAGCCAAACTTCCCCATATCGTTCATTGTGCCTCGAGGATCCATGCGCAGATCCCACTCTGAACGGAAGATATTCGTCTCTGCCCGGATACTAACCGGCGAACCCCCCGAAGTATACTTGAGCCCATCATTATCCACATCAAGCAGGTCTTTACGGTCGCGACTCGAAAAAATAGGAAGTCGTCGATACACAGGCCGGAACCACTGAATCGAAGTATAAGACTTCGGCAGTCTGGCTGTTGTCCACGACTGTGCCGGGGGATCATCGTACTTTGCTCCGCTCCATCCAGAATTAAGCAGATGCTCCTCGAAGAATTCTGGTGTAATCCCAAACGTCTCTCCAAAACAGTGAATTGCTCTCACGGAGAGATCCTCGATAAGAAAGACGCGCCTTCTTAACCCCTCTGACACATCCCGGAAATCGGAGACTGAGTCCGGATCTTCTAACCCTACGCGCGTCACCAAGCCATCACCGTGATACTCATACAGTGTAATAGAGGTATTCCGTAAGCGGGGTTCTGTACGTATATTGCCATTTTTGATGTGGTCGAACACGCCTGCCGCGCGAGTGAGAACCCGATCATAAGGCTGATATGACTGCGACTGCGATTGCGACTGCGACCGGGGCTTCTGTCTCGGCCTCGTCGCCACCTGCTGCGACAAGCGCCCCTCCACTAGCGAGGGGGGCCGTGATTCCGGCAGCGGAATTGAGGCCGGTGGAATGAAGGTGTCGTGTCGGTCGACCATATGCAGTGAACGCCGCGCTGTATTTCCACCCCGGTCTTCATATCCGCCGGAGCCTTCCGCGGTGCTACTGGAGATGGATGTCCCGTCACTGGATTCGGGTAACGGGATCTGCTCTGGGACCCAGGCGTGTGTGCCCGGCTCATGGCGGAGAGCATCCTCGAGCGAACTTCGAGGTTTTGACTTTGCTTTACGCAATTTCCGGGAAGCATCCTCCGCTTCGGCGTGTTGCTGCTTGATCCATTCCTGAACGTGGCGAGAGGGCTGTTGAGCCATGGTTCAGGATTTTAAATGTGTCTAAAATCAATACATCATATACGAAAATCGACTGTCGCAAGGGTACCACGGCCTTCCGAGAACTGATGGTTCGGATGCGAAGTGGAATGCCCATGGTTAGTGGGACTGTGACTCGACTAGTGAGTAGCGACAAGGATCGCTAGCGAGCTTCGTATTGGACCCCTTTCACACGCACCAATCAAATGAGACACATGTGCAAAAAGCAAACTTGAGAAACCTCAGCTGAAAATTGCTTTGGGCCTTTGAACTGGTACTCATGCAGCCTCTGCCATTCCTTAGTTGCGCTGCTATTCGCTCACCTGAAATGGGCATATATCGCTTTAAGGCCCCTGCACTTGGGGTGTGCATTATCTGAAGTGAGACTATCCGCCGAGTTGAGGACATTGTGTAGGTATAAAACATTGGAGCTGATGGATTCGTGACAAAATTGATGGGATTGAACGTATTGATGAGGTTGAACGAGATGAAGTGTGTCAAGTCAAATCTATGGAATAAAAATGGCTAGTCCTTCGTAGTCAGGTGACAGATCACGGGGCCACCCATCGCAGTTGCCTTTTAGCATTGCCCACGCTTTGTATATGAGTGAATTGAAACGGTTAATAAGTCCGGATGTAGACGCAGATTCTTGAGGTAGATAATTGCGACAAAATAGTCATCCCTGATGCAATCAACACATATATGAAACACCCTAAATTGACCACCAACCCATGTTAACACTACTGCATTAGCATGCTAACTGGAAGTATGAACCAATAAAACCCGAAATCATCAATACAGTCTATTTGTTTACGGCTGTAGACGGTATATTCATAACTTCATAACTGTGTGTTCTATAATAGCCATTGTACCCGACGGATGCAACAATGTGGAGCGGCTCGTGCCGTCTCGGCACGCATGTCCCGGTTATCTACCGTTGTTTAGCTGGAGAAAAGTCCTGGATAGCAGAATGTTATGCTCCTTCCTTTCCTCTTCCAAATAGCCGCGTCTTTTCACGTATGTTGTTTTCTTCGACCCCGCAGAGGGGGTTATCAAGCAATCCGCCTGTCGAAAGCATTGATCACTCTACACAATCGGGATGAGTCAGGGCTACCTGGCTAATATCAAAAGTATGATTCATTAGCCAAGGAAAACTATCTTACTTCGCGTGATTTACGGGTAGCACCGCGGGGTTCGGATTGGACCCGTTGCATAGAGTCGTCAAGGGCATCAGATATGTCACGTGGAGTTGTCTGAGACAGGTGACAGTCTTCCTGGTTGCAGGATTCAGGAAGATGATCCTTGTGTCCTCCCCTTCGGAGGTCCGATAAGGCATCCTACAGATATACACAGATGTCCCACTGCGATGATAGCCGTTAAGTGTCACATGGTGCACTTGCCTCTTCTGCAGACGAAGGAAGCCGCAACTAATACATATTTGGGTTGTTGGGGGTTGATGTTACATTGATGACTGCAGCCACTTTACTCACCCGAGAGCAAACGGATGGGGCCAAAACACCATTTACCCTTTCGAGATTGCGGCGGAATTTCTAGTGGGGGAGGCCTTACCTGTATTATCCTATAGCCACCATGGACACTGAGCCTGGTGGCGCTACACTTTCACTGGGCACTGTCTTTCCCCTCTCCCACCCCGCGATATTGATTAAAATTCTCAGCGTCAATGTTACCCCAGACGACTGGCTCTGTATATTGGCGCATTGTTTGCATTTGTCTCGATTGATGTGATGATGGGGCCAATGATACAAGGTAGAGTTATCTCGAGAGAACAGCTCAGCTACCTGGGAAAGGTATATAAGTAGGCAGCGAGTACAGCCCAGTTGTTTGAACAGACAAGAAAACCAAAAACAATAACAATCAAACAACCTTCTATCCATCAAAATGAGATTCGAGACTATCTTCTTGCTTGCCCTTGGAGGCGTCGCTTCTGCTACCCGAAGCGCAGGTAAGTTAATCACTATCCATTGGAGATATGTAATTGCTAATCAAGGATACAGTCGTCGAAGGAACCACCATTTATGCTGATGGAACCACCATCTGGGCTGAGAACATCACGCCCGCACCCTCCGTGCCTCAAGCGACCAGGACTGCAGACATTGACGGAACTACCATCTACTACGACGGCACCACCCTCTGGACTCTCGCAGTGGTGACGGCTACCGTACACTGATCGACATATAATCAACTATGGCCTATTTGATTATACATATTGGTGACGGATTAAGTGGCTGGCACTTGTGGGGGGGACGGATGTGATGTTATGAAGGCAGGTCTTTTATTCGATGTCAGATAATTGGAATGTGTTACGCCTCTCAATACGAAGAAACTTGAAACCCTAGGAAATTATATTGGGATTACTAGATAACTCTTACCCCGGATCGGTGGTCAGGGTATATGGAGGCTCGCTTCCGGTACAATTAGCTTTGAGTTCTGACAGTGGTGTGCATATATCATGCCCCCTGGCTGTGTTGTGGTCTGAGTGAGGCATTATCACTGATATACTATCTATGGCAAAGAATACTAGCCAACTACAAAAGATATCTAAACACTTCTGAGATCTGTGAGTACTATTTCCCAGCCATGTTATATTGCGGCACCATCAAATAGAACCCGAGGGTCATAGTAAGGGAGACCAGGTATTGGTAGTAGAACACCAGACCGCGCTTGGCCATTTGGTCCCGTACTATTTTGATTCTCCATAGTCTTCATCATTCTTTTCAATCATTGAAAATCATCATTTTCATCACGGTCTGGCTTGATATTACTGTTTTTTGTGCCAGGGTGTCTGGGTCGGCTCTATGTGGTTATAAAAAGCGACTCAAATAGTTAAGTTGTCTTCTTGCATGAACCAAAGCGAAACCCACCCAAGTAACTCACTACGTGGGAGGTAACATTGTTGCCAGCTATTATCTCGCGCATCTTGAGGCGTCGCCGCATCAATCCCCTTCGGAACGTAGTTCGACGGGCAACCATATTGATGCATTTTTGCTTTTTGAAAGTAAAGGTAGACTGGGAGGAGAAGCTCTCGTAAGCAGTTAATATATACCTGTCTTGACGGAAGAGCCAGCCATAAAGATGGCAAGATGATCTCTATTTGAGCGTCGACACAACGCAAAGACCCAAGTTCAATATTATATATGGGGTCATATTGTCTAAACTCTCAATATCATAATGCTTTACCCAGGGGTCAATCGTTGACATTGTTTGCACCCTCACTGCTAACAAGGGAATTACATCTAGGAATTTCTCTTAGTAAAAGAGAATCGTGCATGTTCCGGTCTCCAGTGTCATATGATAATGATATCATATATCTTGTTCCATGTATATAGACCAAAATAGCATTCCCTAACAAGGACTTTGTAGCTGATAAGCAGTGATATCAGCCCACATATTGCATACGAATGCATCTGTCGCCCCTTGATATAAGCACCCATTGATCGTCCAAAACTAGCCCCATTTCTAGTCAGACACACACACGGACCATACGAATACAAGTCTGGGCTGAAACGCATGTGGAGCCGATGAAGTCATATCTGACAGTCTTATGGCTGACGTGGGATCCAGAAAGAACTCTATCTCCACCTCCCTACCTCTCAATCACACGAAATCTATTTTCTGTTACATACTATGCCTTTGGTAGAAGTATTGTCGCTAAAAGCGAAAGATTTCCCCATGTGACTTGCTTCATAATTATACGTAACCGTATGAACATCACCCTGAGATTGAATGAATGTAGGTATACCAGGATCTTTTAGAGTCATTGGACAAATCAAGTAATGGATAACACATGAAAAAGGACGGTCTAGAAGTGGGGTGGATATAAGCTATAATCACTAATCTTGCCCCACTGTCCCGGACTTCTGCAGTGCCGTCGATCGGACTATCTTTGGTAGTGATTGGAATGAGATCTCCAGTACTATGTATAAGCCGGGACAATAGGGAAGTTAACACTGCAAATCATGCCTCCAAAGAAGGCAGTGCATTCAGCTTATATGGCCTAGATTCAATCTACCAGCCTATATAAGACCCTCGAACGGTCTCACATTTTCGACAACGAACAAACCCAACTATACTTCCAAACGAATCCTTCTATCTTACCACAACTCTCAAACCAAGTCATCCCCCACCACCAAAATGCAACTCACTACTGCCTTCGTTGCCTCCGTGTTGGCCACCTCCGCAAACGCCGTGACTTACTCAGGCATGGTGTACTTTGCTGACGCAGGCGACTGCCCGTCCGCGACGGCCAGCACCCCCGTCTTGAACTTCGATTATTCATACGACAACCTTTGTTTATCCGTCGCTGATAACTCGGACTGGGACAGCGATGATTATGGCGCTATCATGCAAGCCAGCGTCACCGGAGCAAACAACATCGGCCCGAAGAAGTTTGGTGGATGCCCCACGGACAAGTGTGACAAGGATTGCACGACTGTTGACATCGAGGGTGACAACGGTAATGAACTTTCAGCGGAGTGCGTGCAGGTCAAGGGCGCGCCGTACATCTATATTGGAAACTAAAGAGCTTGTCTATGAACGTGGTGAGATTCAAATGACACTTCAAGGATTATCTCATGTTTTGTGATTTGGTATTGGAGATTTCTTGATATTTATACTGGACAGTATGTGCCTGATAGTTATATGTTCGAACCCTTTGTATATAGAAAAAAAAAATCTATCCTTGTCTCTTAATGACAGCAAGATACTGAGGATTGCTTCAATGTTTGGAGACTCGTACGACGCCCCTTCTTGTCTACCGCCGTGTCTTTGTATAGACCGACGTAAATATGACTGGAACTTCACAGAAGTTCTACCTTCGCTGGGTTGTTAATCTTCACTTAAGATCCCTAGTGTCTACTTTTGATAACCATAACCCCGAGCCGGACGGAAACAGCTCATCGTTGTCTCAAGTTCTGCATGATTTGGACGACGGCGCCAAGCCATCCTCACCAGCATCTAGTAAACCCCTGTAAACGCGCAAGCTTTTATAAGATTGAACCAAGAATCAGATGAGAAAGAATTCACGAAAAAAGCATCTAATGTCAAAGAATATAAGGTGGCGAAGCACTGTTTCTGAATACTCCATGTTGCCATGTACTAAAACTGAGCATAAAAGGTTTGATAAAGACTAGATGCGGACACCTGACCGCCGAAACCCTAACTAGTGCCTGTCTGTTAGTCGTCGTTGTTACTATAAGGGTTCTCTTCTGTGTTTTTCCAAACATGATATTTTCGAGATAGTGGGATGGTCTAAAAATCAATAAAGATGTGATTAGACATCTTCGAACTAATAAGTGATAATACTATTATAGAAGGAGATGATACATGTAATGACTATAAATTTTGTGTACCCTTCTCTGGAGTGGGGGGATCCGATCCTTAAGGCATTCGTCTTTCTTTTGTCTCATCTTGTATCGCTCGCCATATCTTAGCAAAGAGTATAAAATACTTAATTTGGTAAACCAGTGACTGGGCCCACTTGATTGGCCTCATCTATCTTGCAAGCTAACAAACTTTGAAAACAAAAACGCAAGGCTGAGACACTACACCTTGACTTGCATTCTCCATTATGCACCGAGTGGCTGTTGATGCTATCTGATATAACACTGGTATATTCTCCTGGGCATGGATCGATGGTTCTGCAAAGGATTATGATACTCAAATGTGTGCGACGGATGTGTAATCAAGCAACACTTCGATGAAACTTCCCTGATTCCTTATACTGAAGTAACCCAGGTGCCCGACCATGTGGATCCTACAACAGACGCTAAATCGGTCCATCACCCGTCCTCATCTAAGTGGTCAGCCCGTATAGAATGGTAACTTAAAAAAGAAACGCGCTGGTTGGGCTGCGGAGCTGAGTCTCAGAGCCATTGGCATATGGACCAATAACAGGGCTGTAAGACGATTATCATCACGGCTTAGCCTGACACAGCCTTGCAGCCCTGGCTGAGTATTGAGCTTCCACGCGACTCATCATTGCAAGGCTCTCTCATAAATATAATAGAAACTATTTCTGCTCCCTGTTTCTTCCCTTCTTGTGTGCAGACTCAGAGCTCATCTGCTACAGGAACTTCACGATGGGAAACTCCACAATTTGCGCAGACCCGACATACACTTTTGCCGATTTTGACAATCTTTCTGAGTGTGACAAAGAATTCGGTATTCTGAATACGGATGGCGAGAATGCTTATATTAATACAGTCTGGGATTGTGTGAATGATTATTGCCGGGAACCTGACAGTCGCCTCAAAGGGTGTGAGAGTTCGGATGATGATGGCTGGTTTTATGTAGTCAGAGAAGGCGGATCTGGCTACTTCACTGGCGATATGTGTATTGGCATCAACAGTGAAGTGAACAGTGATCTGGGGGGCCCCGGCGTGAGTCCACACATCTCTACCACAGGGTTCTCCTTGAAGACTGGGCTGACCCTGTTATCCGATCCCTAGGTCTTTATTTCGTATCTTATGCAAATTGGCATTGTCTTCTATGTCTTTCTCTTTCTCCGCGTATTCCATTTGGGCCCAAAAGTTGTGTCCTTCGCCACTCGTTTCAAGCATTCTCACGATACCGAATCTACCAATGCGAGAGGCGACAAGATCCGTCATTACTTCAAGCAGCACGACTTGATACTTAAGACAGTCTTGGTAGAATTCCAAGAAGCGCAATGCTTCCTTATGCTTGCATCCCAGGCTGCGATATTGGCAGCTCGCAAATTCAAAGCCGTGTACGAAGCATCAACCTACCAGATGTTGATAGCAAACGAGGGAATTGCCAGCATGGTGTCTATGGCAGGCATTCTGCCCGTCGTAATTACCATGTGGAGTCTGCAAAAGTGGCACCGCAACTCCCCGTGGATCTTCTTCCTTTCCTGTGCGACGTTCGTCCTGTCCGAAGTGGCACTGTATATTGCCCCTCTGCCACAGATAAAGAACATCGACGGGGTCAAGAGCAACTACTGGCCAGAGAGCTGCGGCGGGCTCCCCCCGCCCCTCATTTACTGCATCGATCCATGGACTGGGGGCCAAGTCCTTTCTCCACAGCAGCTCTTCCGTTATATCTTGAACCCATTCTGCTCCCTCATATGGCTCACCATCGTCACTAAGTGGATATGGTCATACGTGCACGATAGGAGCAAGCCACCCCCGCGCCGTGGGACGCTGCGTTCTTTTCTCTATCTGCAGAAGATCCACGACTGGCTGCAGCGATTTCGCCAGACGAAATGGGGTGTCCGGCTTTGGCGTCTTTTTTCGGCATTTACCGTCATTGTTGAATTGCTCTTCATCTTAGCTGTATGTGTCGACGCCCGATGTTTCTGGTTCATCCGCACTATGAACATTATCGATTTCGGTCACTGGTCCTTCGGCCAGCTCGTCGCCATTACGGTCTGGCTTCCAGTGATCAGCAAATACTTTCTCCTTATGGGTAAGCACGTCTCGTATACTCAATGCAAGGCGTATTATCTAACGATTGGAAACTAGGCGGCATTTCATCCTACTCCCGCTCGCGGTTTCCCAAAGGTTACAGGATCGTCAAAGAGCGCACCACTGACACCGAGAAAGATGTCTCCCAGTCGGCGTACCTTCCGGTCTCATCCAGCCGTGACAGCAACAAGACACCGAGCCGCTTCTATTCTAGCGGCACCTGGTCGGACATATCGCGTGCGACTTGAGTTGGTTGACATGCCGATTGGCTACCGTTTGACTCACTAGCATCTTACACAGTCCACCCACCCCCTGTACAGCTCCACGTGTAGCTCCATAGGCATATGTAGGCCCCGCTCCCATCACCTGCATTACAAACATGAGCTCTATCCATGCTTCAAATCATCGAAAGGGTACCAATCACGCCGTCCATGAGCAAAGGGCCTGCTGCCTTGCAGATTTTCCACAGATTCGAACATCATGGGCGGCGCGTACAGGGCGTGTATGTAATCTAAGGTTCATGAGCTTCAATTCAGCGGTTCCCAAAGTTGAACACGTAGGAGTTAAGGCGAATGTGTACTTCACTGCCAGTGCGTGTGTGATGATTAATAGCCACAACAAAATAATCAACATGATGTATGATGATAAGCCCGATATTTTGCGTGTATGAACACGACAGGAATTCGCAGATTATGCAATTTAAAAATTTCAAGATCTACATTCTAGTATAGCGACAGACCGAGATTTGACAGAGGGCATGCACTGGGCCAGTGACACCCAATTCTCTTATCTCGTCAATCAATCGAGTGCTAACTCTGCAGGATTAGACAATAAAGACATGAGAGGTCTCAAAAACGTATATAAACTAAACATCAGTTCTCAAACCATTGTCCGCCATCAGTTTTTGACGAGGGCTTCCGCGCGAAATGGAAGCTTGAGTTGAACCACTGGAAGACCTGACGGGTTCGTCACCGAAAGAAGTCGCAAAATCTGTCGTGGCCAGGTCCTAGCTGGTACCGGAATAGCAAAAAAAAATAAAAAGGGTGGGCTTCAGTTTGAACGGATTGTATCAATTGTTGTTTATGGCTGTTGCAGGACTGTATTTAGAGGAGGATAGGAATGGGAAGCCTTGTTGGGACTGAAGGATGAGGAAAAGTGAGACTTGCTGTTTACACTAGTGCAAGATTTGGCGAGAGTTGTCGGCCCTAAATCGAAGGCGAGTAACTCAGACCTTTCACGTGAGACATAATAACAAATAACTGTAGGTAGAAGGGTGAGGAAAGTTCGAGTTTCGTACGAATAACTGGAAGGGCACCCGGAGCTTGGAAAGTATTATGATCACAGCCACAAGCCTCTAAGCCTATGTTTTTGGAAGAAGTTTATGGAACTATCGGTCGGTAGTGACGCAGAAACATGAAGATTGGAAAACACATGACCGCGTGGAACGGATGCGATTCACACCAGAGAAAGGGGTGGAGACAAGCAACATCCCCGAGTGGAGACTGATCGTCCACTAGCTTCAATTTTGGTCTCCGAAGTAGGGTCCCCATTTTGAATGTCGGAAAAGTGACGCCGAGGGTATGGAGAATCATGCAATTTTAGCTTGTATGGTATAACCTCAAGATGAACACGAGCTCCCATGCCGCGAAGGTGGTCACATACGAAAGATCACAACTGTGTCTATAAATCCCACTCGGGGGCCCAATAATGTGATTTTTCCACATTACACCACCTGTTGCGCCCCATTGTGACGATCCTCTGGCAGGTATCGATTTGTTCGTCATGGCAGAGATGCAGGAGAAGAACGTCCTTGGGGATTCCCAGGAGAAGCTTACACGCCAGCCTGAAGACAAGGAGACTCAGGAAGCAAGGCCTGAAAGTCCCACAGAGCCAACAGGAGCTAAAAATTTGGGTGAAAAGACACAGGACGCCTCTCAACCGCCCAATAAGCTAGATCCGGCACATTCATTTCCAGCGCCGGGGACCGAGTCTCATGGTATTTATACGAATTGGCAGTTTATAATTGTTTTTGTTGTAAGCCCTATCCGCATCCTGCAACTTCGTCAACTCTCGGCGTAGAACTAACCACTTTCACCAAGTCAATCTCGTTGGGTTTCAATGCATCTTTTCTAGGAACGGTTAATAGCTGGAATGGAGGACAGGTTTTTCTTCCAGCGATGCTCCTACTTCGGCGCATATACAACCTTCTCAGACCCATTAACTTACTCGCAATTTCAGCCGGTGTCAACGTGGCCAACGTTGCCGACGGGCTAGATCTGGCCCAGATGGCACACGGTGTGAACACCACACAGCTCGAGTCAAGCCTATTTCCGGATGATATGTTCTGGGGGGTTGTGCACACAAACCCGCAAGAGTTTGCCTCGGGGTTCAACTTCACTGGCATCGCACGGAGTCTGAACATGGGAGAGATTCTGCCATCGATTAACGTAACGCAGATTGCGTCAGGCCTTCAGATGGCAGACCTTGTATCCGGTCTCAATGTCACAAATTCAGTGCCGGCTGCGTATAACGAATTTCCTGCCGGTGTGCATGACTTGAGGTCGGCGCTCTGGATTTATCCCACTTTGATGTTTACCCAGACGCTCAGTTCTGTTTTCTTCGGGCGTCTCTCGGACTATGTTGGTCGTCGGTGGATTTTTCTTTTCGGAAACGCGGTGTCGCTCGCCGCATTCCTCGCAGCGGGACGCTCTGACCAGGGCGTCAACATGACTGGCTTGGTATTTAATGCGATTCCCTTCTGGTTTGGTGATAATTTACAAATCATAGCTAACTGGCTGTCCAGAGTGCTCTCTTGGGAATTGGTACAGGGATTCAGGTCCTTGGGCCCTGGCTGGCACTGGCCGAACTGGTTCCTGTCCGCCAGCGGTTCACGGTAACAGGGCTCTGTCTGAGTCTTCTTGGTCCCCTACTAGTTTTGCATGTCATTGTTGGTAAGTCAGTCACTGTTGAAAAAGGCAGAGATGAGGTTGGCTAACCCAGTACCTATAGTTTCTGCACTGGAACGGAACACAAGCGAAGGATGGAGATGGGGCTATTATATTAATGCAATCTTTTCGTTCGCTTCATTAATAGGGCTGTTCATTGCATATCATCCGCCAACATATCACCAATTGCACAACCATCCCGTCGACGATCCTCCAGTCAAAGACTGGCTGGGCCTGTCTATATTTACCACTGCTATTGCGATGGTCACTTATTCCCTCGGCTGGGGAAAGTTTATCTGGGGTTAGTGCTGTCTTTCTGTTCAAGAGACAATATACACTGACAAAAGCATAGTTTGGTCCGCTCCCCAGACAATCGCCGTTATCACAATAAGTGGTTTTGTATTGCTTGCGTTTTTGGTATATGGTAAGGATAGTCAAGTAATCTAGACATGGATCACGTACTTATGGAATTCAGAATACAACTACGGCAACGACCACAATGCTTACCCAGCCTACTTGATGCGAAGTCTCACACATGTGTCGCAGATGGCTCTCGCGGGGTTGCATTCACTTGTCTGGTGGTTTGCACCTATAGCTCAACTGGTCGTCTTTTTGACAGTGACGCCTCGATTTGGCCTACAAGGAGCATGGGAGAACGTGAGTGTTCATTATTGCATTAACAGCATAGAGGAGAACATCTCTGACACATTCACAGTTGTGGGCCGCTGGGCTGGTAGCCGGCTTTTTGCTGGCTTCTCTAACATTGATCCAGCCAAAGTACCTCAAATGGCACGTCGCCGTGGGTGCAGTCTTTGGGATGGGATTCCTTGCTTGCCTCAGGGCCTTGATCCATACAAATCAGTATCGCCTAAGCATGGCGTTCTTCTTTCTGGCAGGCCTGGGGCACGGATATGTGACGGTGGTCCTGTACGTGACAGGACCCATGTCCGCTCATAAGCGCGATATGGGGCTCGTCGTGGGTCTGGTGTCGGCTTACAGAAATATGATCTTCTCTGTCATCCGTAAGACTCGAACTTCTCTATTGGTTGATGGGTGACCTCTCACTAACGATACTGATCAACAGGATCCGTGTTCTTGACTCTTGTAAGACATGCGCCCATGTTAACCAATGCGATATACTAGGCTAACGCGATTTACAGTACGTCAATCAACTGATGGGCAAGATGCAAAGGATCCTACTCCCAGCATTCGCAAAGGCAGGGCCCGTACCAAAAACTTTAAGAAGCATCTTAGATGGTATCGCAGAGGTCCAAGCGACTGGTGATATGCGCGCACTGACCCAGCTTCCTATTACGAAGACAATGACCAATGCCCTGGCTACGACCTGCGGGCGATCGTGGCAGTACGTCATTGTGCTCGCTTATATATACTTCTTCGTTGTCATGATTTATAGTTTTGTGGCGCCTAGCACTGACAGGTACCTGTCTGACCGGGTGAATGTTCGTTTAAACCGTGGTGGTTTGGACTTGGGTGGTTTCTTGCGGCTGCCATCGCTGAAGGGCAAGGCGCCTCAGGAGAAGGCACCTCATGAGCAGACACCTCAGGAAAAGACGCCTCAAGAACAGGTATCTCAGGAACAGGCGCCCCAGATGCAGGCGCCTCAGGAACCGAAAGAAGAAAATTGAGTGCCAGAAGTCGCCATGCTGTTGGATATATGATGTTCATAAAAGAAATACTCTATACAACTTGATAATCATAAAATGAGATACTCATAAATTTAGTATCGTTCGAAAATAAGAAGAACGGAACAGAGAGTATACAATGGGTAACTCATTGTTGGGTAGTAGGTTGGTTTTCATTTACTTCCAGGCAGATGCATATGCTATAGTCTTCTACCATGCTGGCAATTGATCTTGCTGTGTATATGATGTGTATGCATTTGGACGGAGGTTTTTAATATCTAAAAATATTTGTGTCCAACTTATATGTATATCTAACCGCCGATGTCTGAAAGAAGGACGTGAATATACAGACATCTACAAGCCAAGGGAGCTCCGGTTTTTTTGAGTGCGTATTCCGAGCATCTTAATAACTCATTTAATGCTGGTGGGTCTCATACTATTCATCAGAAAAGTGAAAAGTCAGTCACTGCAATTGAGTAAATGGCACCTGATCGAGAGCTCTTCACGCAGTTTGGGTTTTGATTCTATATACAACTTGCAAGTTGCTATAGCTTCGAAGAATATCTCCAAAACTACCATAATTAGTCACTTTCATCGGTATTTTTCGTCATGATATTGCGGATCCTGTGATTCCCATTGGTGCTCTTCCAATGAATCCATGGTCGAGGGTTAGGCACCGCAGCTGTTGAAGATATACAGTGAAGCTCTCTATGATGATGATTCGACCCAAGACGCAGGACAATAAACGACAAACTATCTATCAGACGCTTAGTGAGAATTTCTAAGTAGATTATAGATTATCCATAATTATTTCCAAAGACAGACCCTATATGGGAACTGGCCGTAAAACATTCAAACATATGCCAGGAGCATACAACATTCCTCATTCATAGCGCATTGCTTCACACATTAATGGCGTTTCGTCTTAGTAGCTACTTGAGATAGGTTAGTCATTCATTGTGAAGAGTCAAGTGGTGTTTTGCTTGGTACTTACAGATTTTGGATGAATGTTGCGATATTAGGCAAAATCTAGCCAAGAAGACGTGTTAGCTGGTCGTGGTCACGGTCTTGAAAAGCGGATAAGAGGGAAATATACATGTGCTGCAGAGCCAAGAACGTTGACAGTCTGATTTCGTACATCAGGTGTGAATGACCTTTCTGCATGGTGCCACAGACCGTCGACCTTATCGACTAACTGTGGCGTGAGCACGCCGGACGCAGTGCCGATTAAGCTGCTCGTCTCGTTGGCAAAATGGGGTGTCAAGAGACCTGTCACTGTGTCGAGCAGCCCTCCAAGTCTGTCGAAAGTTGAAGGCGTGATCCCTGGAGCGAGCGAATCGTACATGGTGCCAAGTTTGTCGAAGACTTTCTCGGTTCGGTTGAATAAATCCGGAGTGAGGGCGTCGTTGGCTTTACCCAGCAAGTTGCCGGCCCGGTTGATACCCTCCGGCGTGATATTGGACCACACACTGGTCGCGAGACTGTGAAGCTTATCCTTGCGTTCAGGGGTGAAGTAGTCTTTCGCGTCGTTGAATGTACCCTCAAGCTTCTTGATGTTCTCTGGCGTCACAACCGAAGCTATGGTGCCGATCAAATCCTCCACGCTGTTTCCAAGGTCACCCAGACGATCCCAGTTGGCATTCGACAGGTAGTTGAAGATCTTCTCAGCATAGGGCTTGAGCTTGTCAACCTGACCGCCGACCTTCTTGATGTTTTCGGGTGTCGCAACAGAAGCAATAGCCTCAATTAAGTCCATCACGCTGCTTCCTACATGTCCCAGGTGGTCCCAGTTGGCATGGGACAGATAATCCACAGCCTTGTCAAAGTAAGGCTTGACACTGTCCGCTGCGCCTTCAAGTTTTTTGATGTTTTCTGGGGTCACCACAGATGCGAGAGCGCTGATAAGCTCTTCCCCACTCTTGGCCAGAGGACCCAACCGGCTCCAGTCCGCATGCGACAGGTAGTCCGTGACCTTTTCAAAGTAGGGCTTAGCCTTCTCGATAGCATCTTCGATGGCGTGAATGTGTTCTGGGGTCAGAACTGTGGCAATGCCGGCGATCAAAGTTTCCCCGTTCTTTGCTACATCGTGCAGGCGGTCCCAGTCCACATGCGAGAGGTAGTCTTCCGCCTTCGTAATGAAGGGCTTAATTTTGTTCACGAGAGGACCGGCATTCGAGACAACAGTCCGGAGGCTATCGGTAACTTCCTTCGGTAGCAGACCCTCGACCTTGTCGAGAATACCTTGAATGTCCTCGGTGGAACCCCCAGTCAGCAGTTGTTTCACAGCATCGATAATATCTGTGACATCCTTGATGACATGCTCGGAGACAAATCCTTCAGCGCTACCAAGCAAGGCCTTGCCCTTGGTGTAGAGAACTCCAATGTCATCAAATGCCTGCGCCAAGTGGACTTTTTTGAGCTCGTTGATCGCTTCGGGGGTGATGATGTCTTGGGCCGTGTGGACCGCCGACGTGATCTTGCCGACGGAGTGTGGGTTCAGGAGCTGGAATGCGCTCCCCAGTAATGTCTTGGTATCGTCGGCAGTGGGGGCCTTCAAAAGGTGTGCCGCGTCATGTACCAACCCCTCAAGGTCTGGCAACAGCTTGGGTGACAGCAGACCCTTTACACCGTCCAGGAAACTAGAAATATCTTTAAGAGGGTCACCAGTACTCCCCTCGGGTAGAAGCTTGGAATCCGAATCTGACGTCGATGTGTGCGATGATGGCGCCTCCCCTCTATCAGTGGTTTTTGAACCACCGCCGACTAACCCATCTAGACTGTCTGTAGTTTGGGAGACACTAGTCGGCGTGGCAGATGGCGAAGATTCGGTCGATTGTGCCTCACTCGTTGTCGACTTCGCGGTCTTCTCTGATTCGTCCGATTCGGTGGATGACGATGTAGAGGGCGGTCCGATATCAGGGAGCCCTGTTAGGGCATCGTGCATGGAGTTGGAGCCATGTGTATCATGAGCTGTGGTCTGTTGCTGCTCTGCAGTTGACGGGCTGGCGGTGGAGACGGCTGGGCCAGCAGCAACAGACCATCCCGTCAATAGCAAGAAAGGTAGGTATGTTCGAGGAATCATATTGAGGAATTAACAACAGCCGGTAGGAATACAGAACTCAAACCGTCAGCTGTCCAGCAGGTGCGTGCAGGAACGGTAGCCAGTAACCTGGTTGCTGATTTTATATATCTTCGCCCAAACTCATGTGCAGCCTTTCTGATTCTAGTACCACTCTAAGGCGACCTGCTCGCCACGATCTATTGCTACTACTTGCTAAGACAATAGTGATAATTGTACAATAGAGCCATTGTTTGACGTGATTAGGACTCCATATCACTAAAAGTTTGGTCCAAATCGTACTACCTTTGACAGTGAGTCCGGATCAGGTGGAGCAGCCACTGTTGTCGATCTTTATCCGGTGTGGTCGCTATGGAAGCCTCTGGTAAATAGAGATTTTTTAGCGTCTTTTCGCTAATTCTCTATCTAGATGGGATATTCTATCGGACGCATTTTCCGACATTGCTAACGAGATCGTCAATTTCCGAAATAATAGCTTCAAGTGGCGCCGGTGCAATGACTCAACAACTTGTGGTCCCAGCAAAATAGACTTTTCTCGAAGACAGGCCAAACTTGATGGAGTAAGCTGCGAGACCAGGCTATCAAGCGGTCTCTGCCTGCAATGGCAACATTAACCATCATCACAATGCGCACGAGAAGACCACTTTGACACTGATATATGGACTTATGTGGCACTGAAGATTCCATCCCAACCATCACATGCACCAAGTACAGCGCAATCGCTCGAAATTCGAAGGCGATCCGGTCTTCTCGGACTCCTCAGGACCCCGACGCAGACCATGTGCAGAGCTTATACTATGAAGTCACACAGTAGATACGTTGGATTATCATGTCTATATACCGCCAATCAGAATGTATCGGTTCTTCATAGTCCTGAACATCTCGGCCTAGGATCCACACTGATCTGTGGAGCCCGATCGAACCGCATGTCTGTGGGAGCCCGACCCCGACAGGTGTGTCCCACCCTCGGTGTTGGTGGAAATAGTCCGGCGGCGTTACTGAATCGATACATAAATGCCCGACGCAGAACCTAGCTTACATGACTTTGTTTCTGACATATAACGTCTATGCATGATTTTGCAGAGCACATAACTGGCCGCCTGTAAAATTTACTCCGACTTATCCAGCCGCGAAGTCTACAGGTTTCCCTTGCCGTATGTCACGGTCTGGGTCCGTTTTTGGATATCACGCTCTAATAATTGATCAATCAAGCATATCAACGAGCACAATGCTTGCGTGATTTCGTCGAATTGCAGATCAACGAACTTTCGATGATCAATTGTTCATGGCATGATATCGGGGACTCAACGCGGGGACTGGATAGGCTGTTTACTAAACGGGTAACTTCAAAGCTCATCGACGATCAAAAGCCCGAGGCCGACCTTTTTTCGTGAAAAGAAATTGCCAATAAGAATGTCGGGCATGAAAAACATTCAATTACTTGTCAAGCTATGTTATACAATGATTTAGACTTCAACCCCTGCATTCTGTGACATCTCAGGTGTCATGCTTGGCAGAGCTCCCATGATGGTGGACCCTAGATAGAGTTGATTTTTAGTCGCATAAATGTACGGGCACAGTGAGTCTAATTTGTTCTGTCAAAGCGACGTGCAGATCATGTCCCTCTTTTCCACATTAAAGGCCGAATTATGTAGATCCTGGTCGGGATTCACAATCAACCACGCAGATCATGCCATACATGTTATCTATACCCACCGGCAATCCAAACTTCCCGCTAAGTTCACCAATTTTCAACCTAGACACCATGTTGTGCGGTTCCGAGCTGCTCATCGGTCTACCCTATAGGGTACTTTTGCGTTCAAAAGCGATGGTCAGTTTCGAACCTCGGTTCTTGTCATTGCGGGACGAGTTCAAGATGCAGGACAGCAAATAGTCGAAAAGAGGTCAAGAACCCTTGTCATCTAATTCAAATCCATTGTGGGTCCCCAGGCTCTGGACGCGATGACATCACGTAACTAGGTTTGTATGCCTTGGATGTAATAGGCAAAAGATCTCAGTGTTCCAAGACGCGGTCATTCCAACGCGTCCCATCTATAGGTGATGCATACAACCTCTCCATACTCACCATGACGGGTTGCAATATCGTTGACGGCGGAGCTCCGATGCTCAGAATAAACACGGTGGGAAGCTCGCGACATCGCCCGCGCGCCTCCACTGCATGCAATAATTGTCGCAAGCGCAAAGTCAAGGTATGTCACTAACCATGACCCAAAGCCTTCGGTCTTGGAAAATTCTCTGATATTAAGAGTATAATTTTTCTGTTTAGTGCAACGTGCAGCAGATCGCGCATGGTGAGGCTTGTACGAAATGTCACATGGCAAATGCTGAGTGCGTTGTCTCCCATAACAGCGACCGCCGGAGGTTTGTAGCTACCCTGCCAACAAGATGTAGCAATTTGTCTGATTGCTTATATTAGATACGGATCTCACCGTTATGTTGCATTCTTGCAGAATCGTCTTCAGTCCCTAGAAGCGTTCATTGCAGAGAATCCTCAACCGCAGCACGGTGACGGGAGAGAGCAGTTGGTTGCTTCAGATGGTCATGAGAAGGGACCATCATTTTCTGCAGCCATGAATGCGGACTCAGAACCGTCATCACAATGCACTTATATGTCACAAAGATTACCGTCGCAAGATGCTGGTCAAAATACCCTATTTTCCATCCCACGGGCGGATGCCTCACCCATAGCCGATTGTCGGCGACAGAGGCCAGACATTCCCAAGCTGCCTCAGCCTAATGGAAACCACTCGAGCTTGAGCAATATCCCGGATACGAGAACGTCTGTGGCGGATAATGCGAACGTATTAACATACACCCCAGGAGGGTTTGCACATCGTCATGGTATTCAATATGAGGCCACAGACAACAACCCGGGGCAGGGTTTAACCTCCTGGCCATCCACTGAATTAGAATTACAATTGTCAGGAGCCAATGAGGATATTAGTATTGAAGCTACAATTAGTCCAGACTCGTCGCAAGTCCAGAAAGTGCTATTGGAGATAGCGTGGCGATGTCTATCGCTACAACCAAGGCTAGTACACGAGGAGTATTTTCTCTCGCATCGCCAACTTGGAGTTCGATCACAGTACTACTCGCCATTTCTCGAGAACACTTTATTGGCATGTGCCTCTCGGGCTAGTACATCCTCCGCGATTCGCAAACTGGGACCACTATACGTCGACCGTGCCATGAAGTCTATCCATGTTGAGTTTGAAGACCCAACACCTGCGACTGCCCAGGGTTTTGTTCTCCTAGTAGATTTTGAGACAGCCAGAGGTCGAGATCGCCAAGCGTGGACATATATGGGTTGGTAAATCTCCTTGCTTATCTCTTGTTCCATCATAATCTAGCTGGCTGATCCTCTGTTCTCTGACAGGGACCGCATGTCGTATGATTGGCTTTGACCTAGAAGACAAAAGGATTATCTCAGCAACTATGCAAGACTGTCCTATGCCACCGGATATTGCATACCAATACACCATCTACTTGAGTACATTCATATACGACACTCTCTGGAGTCTACACCTTAGGCAGCCGAGAGCGATATCACTTTCTATGCTGTGTACCGTCCGAGATTCAGCCCCGAAATCTACGCAAAACAGAATGCTTCATGTTTGGGTTGACCTCTGTGTGCATATCGCCGAAGTAAGCGATATCATGACGACGTCCCTCCCACTAGATAGCCATTCTAGGGTCCATATCCTACAAATAGAACAGCGTCTCCAGAGCCATTATGATGCACTCCCTCCTGATCTCTCCGCATCAGTCGGAGAGCTTGACATGGCGGGATATACGTATCACATCCAATTTCACTGTGTGAAAATTGTACTGCATCGCGCGCTGCTCCAATCGACACTCGAACAAGACCACGAGAATGCTGCTCCGACTAACGACACCTATCGATATACTCGGTCGATTTCGCCGAAGGTTATCTACGAAAGCGCCGTCCATATAACCAGTTTAATACTCACCTACAAGCAAATCTTTGGCCCCGATAAGATGGTCCCGCTCATGGTGTACAGTATCTACATGGCAGCTACCTCTCTCGTCAGCCACGTTCGTTCCCTTCACGGCCTCGGTGCTCCTGCTGACCGTGACGAGAAACGCATTCGTCTCTTGATCGACACGCTCACTCAGATCCGAGCGCACTTTCCCGTCGCCTCTCGCATGTGTCAGACCATAAAGGAGAGTTTTGGGGCCCCTTCATTTGGTTATACCAGCCCGCTTGGCCAAAGACAGATCAGATCATCCACACGCAACAGTGCAACATTGCAGATTAATGGCTCGGGAATCATATCGCCGCTAGGGAATTATGTGCCCGGAATATCTTCGGACTCCAGTTGCATGGATGATGGGCGATTCTCCATGGCTTCCTAATCCAAATGTGAGACACCGGCCGTTTTTTCTGTCGTTTCTAGACCAGTAGATTTACTGGGAGTCCCTTATTGTGTAGTCCTCTCTGCTTAAGGTCTATTCCTTTATTTGTTCTTATTTATTCTTATTTGATCTAGCTGTTGATACACTCCCGGGCCGCAGCAGTCTATATAGATAATATAAGTGCATACGAAAAACATGTTATACATACACTAATTCTGTTAAAAACCGACTACAAATCTGACGCCTAGATTATTGGCTATTAACGTTTAACGTCAAGCACAACCCGTGAAATAGTACATGGTTTCGGATTCCGTGAGTGTTGGATCTGGCCTGCGCAAGTGAACGTAGGAGCTATATTCTCGACAGCCTCGCAAGACTCGATTTTTCCGTAGTTGTTGAAATAAGCAGATATTTGAAACATAATATCAGAAAGGAGTTATTAAAAAATTGGAAACATGATATATTAGCCGCTACGCCAAAACGCCGACCGACGTCTGGTATAGGGCTTAACCCGACTGATATCCCCGGATAATATGAACCACCTCCAGCACCATCACAAATGGTTTGATGTCCCTGATCTGGAAACAATCACGCATGCCGAATGCTAGAGTATATGTGATCGTCAGTTTTGTTTCACTGGGAGCAGCTTTGGATTAATAAAAGGCACGGTTTCGGAGCGTCACAATCGATCTGAGCGACGGTATATCAATAGCCATCAATATTGCAGCCTTGACAACCGACTCGGAACAGGAAGAGTAGGCGTGTAGTAGCTTTAAGCTTCCAGGTACTCTCACATTTCATCTGGGAAAGTAAGGGGATCCAGTAAATTCAACAGGCGAAGCATCATACCACGACAAGATAGAGTAAGTTTTATGGAAACGAAAGCATCCTGAAAGATTTCGAGAAAACTCCAGAAATCCAAGAACTGGCATATTCATTGGTACACGAACCCATCGCTGAAACTCTACATCTCAAAGTGCAGAGAAATGTACGTAGTGTATATAGGGCTGCACGAACCGTGCGCGAGCTTTTTGATCCACCGGCCCGTTAGCGGCGGGAGGAGTTATCATCGGCATCGGCCCACATTGATCCTACGAGCCCCGCAAATCCTTTCGGCTGTCAGCATCTTATACCATGTTCTGATACGTTCGAAATGATGATGCCTTCGGGACAAATAATTGGCGATGTTTGTCAACGGGTTAGGATTCAATGGGGTGGATATCCCGGGGCGATGGAAATTTGAGACTGGAAATTTGGTAAGGGTCGGTCAGGTGTTAGGACCAAAGGGCGGATCGGGCGAAAGGGCTTCTGACTGGGAAGGTTAATTGTGTTAGTAATGAGTCTGCTGCAAGAGGCCCAATAGGAGGTTGATGGTTGAAGTCAAAAGACTTTGGTTCAGGACAAAAAGTTTGCACGTGGGTCCGGAAGCATGTCTCTGGCTTGTCTTGCATAAGATCTGAGGTTTAGTTGAAGATTTTGATCTGCGACCAGTGGAAATGGAGTATAATAGATAATCATTGGGTATGAACAGAGATAGACTATATATGTATTATGAGATTAGGTATCAGTACAAATCAGGTCTAATGAGATCCGGTCCCTATTCAAAAGAATGTACTGTCAGATGTCATGGTGCTAATATACATAAAAAAAAAGTATAGTAATTTAAATATACAAGAAAGAAAAGAATCAAAAAAACACCAGATATCTTACCAGATCAACCATCCAGCGCAACCCCTCGTTCTCATAAAATCCAGCACTCCAAGAAAAAAACGATCTAGAGAAGCAGGCCCGCGGCCACCGACCCCATCCCGTACAGCAGGTTGTTGACGTTCACGGGACCGCTAGCAGCGTTCTTGAAGTGAACGGGAGGGTACTTGTCGGGGTCTTCGGTATCACACTCGCCACCGCTCCGCGACGTGCTGAGCGTGCAGTTGGCGTGCTGTCCACTGGGGGCAGTGAAGACGAGTTCGCCCGAGTGCCAGTTGACTTCGACCTCGCCGTCACCGCAGATCTTCTGGCTCGAAACGCCCCGGTTGCCACCGCAGCCCTCGGAAAAGGGTTTGGAGCTGCCGCTGCAGCCAAACAGGTCGTCGTCGATGATCACCGTGCAGTGCGAGACGTACCTGTTGGCGGGAGGGTTGGTGGTCTTGACGTAGATGTGGGCACCGGAGATGGTCTGCGCCAGGGCGGCGATGGCGCCGAACTTGAGGAGCCAGGACTGCATTTTGTGTGTGGATTTTTTGGGCGGTATTAAAAGTATTAAGAAATGTTGGTTTTTATAATTTTTGTAGAGCTGGAACGAGGAACGATGGGTTGGGGAGAGGCTGGCGTCTCGCAGAAGGGTATCAAGGGCGAAAAATGAGGGCAAGAGCGCAAATCGGGGCGTGACGAGTAGAGACAGACCGGGCTTTATAGGACACCCGGCACAACCGGGATGGTACCCAGGGGGGTAACCACCCGAGCCGAGACCATCGACCGTCCAGAAATCTTCAAAATCGGGTAATTCAAGTCAAAACAATGCCATTATGGTTTAGTAAAGTAAATCGCGCAGATAACTTCTTCCCACGGCCGCTGAGAACCGCCGCCAGCATTGGCGGACCTTGGCGGGTAAAGAATCTTGGCGAACGTCGAGTCTCCCAATCAGTATCCAACGTTGTCCTCGAGAATGGAGTTGAAGATCCACTTTCAATCTCCGGCCTAACCGGCTTCGTCCCTCGGATACTTGACATCATGATGCCAAGGGCTCTATCTATATGGCCCCTTGGTGGTAGTGGTGCGGTTGTGAGAGGTAAGTTCGCCGAGAACGATGTATCTTTACAGTATCTTTTACCCAGTCGAATAATAGACTCAAGCATCCGAAACAACACACCATCAATTCCTCTTTTTACTATATAGACATAGATTTTCGACACATCCTTGGTACACTGCCGTTCCGACGGAAACCCATCCATTACGCCCCCAATCAGCCTCCCGGCAACCCGTGGGTGTAGCCTCGCGTAATACACATACGACCATATTACAAAGATCAACATGTGGGACCACGGACCATGTTCCCACTGCCCGGACCCGAGCAAGAAACAGCGTCGGAAAGAGTTGCTGTGCTGGGGCATGCCGTCCGAGGTCTCGTTCAGGAATTTTGTGGCTCGCAGGGTTTCAGCATTGTTCTCGGCTCTAAGCTGGGGAAAAGCGGAAGAGGGAGGATATGCATCCCTTTATACAACCAATTCGTCCATGGTATGCTGGGCGCTCGCTGCTTTCATCCCTTCACGGATCGTGTGTAATGTTGAGCTACCAACCCAACCACGACTTCTTGGCTCACCTTGGCAGGGAGGCCGATTTTCCTGCATGGGGATAACTTAGATCAATCAATGGGGTAACTATGCCGACTATCCCGAAGCAAAATCAAGGCAAGGCGAAGACTTTCCTGCCATGTGCCGGTTCTTTACTCCACCACCTGAACCACTTCAGAATTTGCATCTCGCCAATAGCTCGCATGCCGAATCGCCCGACAGCCCGCCCTGCTACCAACTGGGCAGGAGTCTTGACAGATCAGGTCGTAGAGGCCATTCACAAGAGTATTTTCTTCCTCGTATGCAAACCGAATAGATCTACAGATCTACCACGTGCTATGTATTGCACGCTTCACTTGAAATGGCACTATCCAACCATGAGTTGCACAATGTAACTTGTGCTTCTGCCCTGGCTACCTGTGCAAAGTCCACTCCCTCGTGCAAAAGGTTGCTTTCCTCGTGTACGGGATGTGCTGGATCCTATTGCTTGATCTCGACTGATACTCTCTGGTCGATAGTGGGTGGCTATAGGACGCCCGAAGTCTCTGTATACCCTCGGTACAAACCGGCTCCCAGTCGTATCTAAGCTCTCTTTATCTTCATATTACAATTCACATCCTCAATAGAAACTATAGGCCTTAGTCCTTGTAGCATCTGAAATGTGCTCAAACACGCAAAGGATCCTTTTTGTCGGGAAAATTCATCATCTATGCATCTCAGCATACATCCTCAGTATCCCCACTTTTCCGTCCAATTCTTGTATCGACCATGTCGATATGTCGGCCTTTTGATAGGATATCTCCTGAGGGCTAAGCTTCTCGAGAATTTTCTTATTCTCATTGGAAGCACCAATTTTGATCTTGCAAACCGAGGATATGCAGCTTTCCGGAGGGCTCGGAAAGAGAACCATATACCCAGGTGGGGATCACCTTTATACTTGAGCTTATTGGCCATTGCCGCTCCTCTCTGTCCCCCTTCCTTTCTTTTTTTCTTCTTTTTTTTTTTTTTTACTCTTCCCCTCATATCCACCCCTCCCCTGTTTACTTAATTATCCCGATCAACAAAGTTATACTCTCCCCATCACCGTAGAACCCTTGGAAATAATGCCCAAGATTCCCCGCAACAAACAAAACAAACACAACCGACCTCGGCTCTAATGGCTGACATAATTAGCGCTTTCCTGCCCGGAAACAAATACAACAATGACATCACCGATTGCAGCCCGACCGACTATCTACACCGTAGTGTCGTCTATATCTTCATAGCTACGCATAGCGTCGAAATCCCCCTCCCAGCACACAATCACCGCCGACGACGATCATTCAAGCGACCACTTGAAGCCGATCACCCTTAAACCTGTTCAGCAACTGCGGAGACGATGGCGTTTGCGCGCAGACTTGCTATTCTCCCAGGAGGCCTAGGTAGGGACAGATTCCCGCGTGCGGGGTAATTGGTCAGGGCTGGGGAGGGGGGTAGAAAAAATGAACAAAAAATCAACAAGACAAAATGTAAATCGACTGACGCTCGGAATTTCCGTATCTGAAACAGGAGGGCTCGGAACGAGCATAGGCAAGAAACTGCGCGAGCAAGGTGCCCGAATCGCCATCCTCTACGCTCCCTTCGAGACGGCCCGGCGCGACGAGCTGCTACAAGCCGGCTACGCAGGCGTCTCTGCCCCCGAACGGGGCGATATCCGTGCCTATGAATGCGACATCACCTCGCCGGAATCGGTCGAGTCGGCCTTCGACGCCCTGTACCGGGACGCGGTGGCACCTTCCTCGTCGACGGGGGAGCGCGCCTTCCCCAGCATCCTGATCAATACGGCCGGCTATGTATCGCTCAGCGATATGGAGGCTACGCCACCCGAGGAGACGCTCAAGCATCTGACAACTAACATCATGGGTCCAATGCTGTGCTCGCAGGCGTTCGCGAGGATGTACTTCGCAGTGTCGCAGGCGGCTGCCGAGTCCTCGGCGCCGAGTCCCCCGCCTCCTGGGCGCATAGTGAGCATCTCGTCGCAGGCGGCGCATGCGGCGCTGCATCGGCATGGTGCGTACTGTGCGTCTAAGGCGGGGTTGCTGGGGTTGACGCGCAGTATGGCGTCTGAGTGGGGTGGGCGTGGGATCACGGCCAACACGGTGTCGCCGACTGTGGCCTGGACGGATCTCGGGAAGAAGGCTTGGGGGGAGGAATCCGTTCGAGAGGCCTTTTTGAAGACTATACCGACTGGGAAGTTTGCTCTGCCGGAGGAGGTCGCTGATGCGGTCAGCTTTCTTTGTCAGGTGAGTGGATAAGGTGTTGAAAGAATTTGGTCGACGCTAACTGGTTTGATAGGACTCCAGCGGTATGATCAATGGTGCGGATATTAGAGTTGATGGTGGATTTACTGTTAGATAGTGTGGTATAGACATTGTGTAGATACTGTGCCACTGTTTAGGATGGTGTGGGCATTTGGTTCTGGTCATTCCTTGGAACATACCTAGCTCGTTGGATGGGAGGTTCTAATATACTTGTCCTACACATTTAGCCCTCGCAACGCGTCAATATCATGATTTTCAGACTCAATCGACTGTAGCCAGGATTTCACCCACCCATTAAGACGTCTTTCATCTAAGGCGGGTCTTTCACTGCCTCGCGCGGACATAGGCCATTCGCGTTATACAATGTATATGGTTTAACATATCAGATATGCAATTTAAAATTGATACCATAAGCCACGGTTGGAAACCAAGAAACATCTCAAACGACTAATGCATGTTTTACCCACATGTTTCTTCCACCAATTGAGTGCTGAGTATTTAGTGTCGTCAAATCCTGCTACTGGTGGGGGGCATTCCAGCCGCGGACCTCACGAGGCTGGATTAGACACTGTCCACCTCTTCATTGATTACATTTCGTAAATCCGATCAGAGACTCTATACACTGTGTGTAATCTGGTTATCGACTAGACATTCCACCTCGCTACTTTTCAAATAGCCCTGCCAACTATAAGATGCCCCAAGTGTCCAATATAGCCCTAGATAGAATCCCCGTCGACATCGTTCGCCTGGTCGTGAACAGTTTCGACACCAGCATCGACAAAGCAACCCTTCAAAACCTCCGCCTAACATGTCAACTGCTCAACGACCTCGCGACCCCCCAGCTCTTCCACACCCTCACGATTGGAGAGCTAGGCAAGTTACATACCCACCCCAGGTACCTCCACCACGTCAGGTGGCTATTCGTGGATCGCTGGACCTGGAACCTGAGCGTCATAATGGGGCGCCCTTTAACACGTCCAAACTGCCCCTTCCGGTTCCTGGACTTGCTGACCCAGATGCCTCGGCTGGAACGGCTGTTGCTTAGAGGAACCTACAACTGCGGCGGGGATGACATCGGTGTGTCTGATGGCGAGGACTTCAATCAGGAGCAGAAGGCGCTTGAAATGGCGGACTTATTTATGCAGATGAGCTGTTTGACGCCGACACGACAGAGAGTCGAGACGAACTTGCAGTTCTGTGGGTCTCCCGTGCGGCAATATCTACTGACGCGCTAACGGCACCGATTAATAGTATATCTTGACCTTGACATAATGCGGAAATATAGGGACTGGCATCTAGCTACATTTGCATCCGTCTTTTGTATCCCTTCTCTCAGGGTCCTGATCGCCAGAGGCCAAGGCCTCACTATCTCCAGCGACGGGCCGCCACTGCCGATGGACCACATCGGAATGTCGGGGCTGCGCGAGCTGAAGCTTACCAATGCGAGGATCGAGATACCGTTTTTGGAAAGTTTGCTTATGCTGCCTGCGGCTCTGGTAGAGTTGTCCTTGCGGGGCCAGACGATTGTTTTACCTGATGGTGACGAAGACATCGATGCGGTGAGGAAATTTCAGCGGGCAGCGGAGCGACAGAGCGTTTCGTTGAGAGTGCTTGAGTTGAATGAGGGTCTGTATACTGCTGATGAGTCTGTTCTTGGGGGTGTGCTTGATTTGTCGAGATTTGAGGCGTTGAGGAGGTACGAGGGGTATTATGAGGATGTTTCGAAGAGGTTTTAGCTTGTCACTGGTGTGTAGTCCAGTGTAAGAATCGAAATACACATTTATCTTTGTTTCCTTTCTTTTTCCTTTATGGATCATTGGTACTTGCTGGTCAATGGGTATTTCGTTCATGCCCCCATGGGTGAATGTGTTATGAGGAGACTCTCAGACTGTTGCCCAGGTAATACTTCTAGTTATTCACTGGTATTATTTGGGTTATGGCGTCCAGATATCTATGGTGCAAGTTTGCCTATCTTAGACTGCGACTGACCCTAGTAAAGAGAGTCAGTGACGGCTCAAGGCGATGCCATCCTTGTGGATCAACGCAGTCAAATCTATACCGCATGACTTCCGGCTATAGTCAATGTCTCGCTACGTTCCACGCAAAGCTGCCATACGAAAATTTCAAAGACTACCACCTGTGCTTCTACATCAAGTGCTTGATATATTGTGCATCTGGGACATGCCCGAATCATTATCGCACCAAAAAAGGCGATGATGGCGAGGATTTATATGGCATGTCTCGGAAGGACGGACCTCAGACGTCGAGAGCCCGTCGTTTAAGGCATTTGTTCAAATCTGCCATTTCTCCGAAGTGGTGCGAGCGAGCAAATGAGGAAGAAGTGACTCGGTCAGAATTCGGAAATATCGCTACATTGGATTTGATTTCAATCTCCTTGGTCAGTGAGTGAAGTCTGGAGCAAATGGCATGATGCATGTGTAGGCAAATACGTAACCTTCGGGTTTTGGTGGAAAAGTCCTATACTTCCGGGATTTGCACGTTGAGCGTTCGAACACCGAGAACTTGCCATCGCTGGGGTTTTCAATATATCCGCTTATCTATCTATCAATCATCTATCAACCAGTATCCAAAGCCCGGTTTCATGCTTCGGGTCCCTCTACATCCAGATTTCATCAACATGATACATTCACCACTCCAGTGATACTCGTAGATCCTACCGGTTTAGCGAACAGCGAGCAGAAACCGACCTCCACCCTTCTGAATGGCGTGACATATGACATTCTCCATGATGGAAAATGATATGGCGTTGATACCAGGTAGTCGGACATATAAAGAGGAAGATTCGTCGCTGTGTTCATAATACCAAAACATCGCAAACAATCAATTCTATATCATCTATTCTTGAGACCATCTCAGCCTTCATTATCACCACAACTATGCCTTCCTTGACCAAGTACAAGGCCGCAGCCGTCAACGCTGAGCCCGGCTGGTTCGACCTCGAGGAGTCCGTCAAGAGAACTATCCACTGGATTAACGAAGCCGGCGAAGCAGGCTGCAAGCTGATTGCTTTCCCCGAACTATGTAAGTTTAGTCAACCGTTGAGGAAGAAGCGATTCTCAACCGTAGAACATGTTCTAATGAATTTGGGAAAACTAGGGATCCCTGGCTACCCTTACTGGGCTTGGAAGACCAACTACCAGGAAAGCCTACCTCTCCTCAAGAAGTACAGAGAGAACAGTCTCCCCTCCGACTCGGATGAGATGCGTCGCATCCGCGAGGCGGCCCGCGCCAACAAGATCTACGTCTCGCTGGGCTACTCCGAGCTTGACCTTGCCAGTCTCTACACCACTCAGGTTCTCATTTCCCCGACGGGTGATGTCATCAACCACCGCCGCAAGATCCGCGCCACTCACGTTGAGAGGCTGATCTTCGGCGACGGCACCGGCGACACGACTGAGGCGGTCACCCAGACTGATATTGGCCGCGTCGGCCACCTCAACTGCTGGGAGAACATGAACCCGTTCATGAAGGCATTCGGTGCCTCGCGTGGCGAACAGGTCCACGTTGCCGCCTGGCCGCTGTACCCTGGAAAGGAGACCCTTCGGTACCCGGACCCGTACACCAATGTTGCGGAAGCGAATGCTGATGTAATAAACCTCATGCCTGCTGATTGACTGTCAATGTTTTTGTTTGTCCGACGCTAACATGTGGATGTATAGCTCGTGACGCCTGCGTATGCCATCGAAACCGGCACGTTCACCCTGGCGCCGTGGCAGACCATCACGGCCGAGGGTATCAAGTTGAACACGCCTCCCGGAAAGGAACTCGAGGACCCGCACATCTATAACGGAAATGGTCGCATTTTCGGTCCCGATGGCCAGAACCTTGTCCCCCACCCAGACAAGGACTTCCAGGGTCTGCTCTACGTGGACGTAAGTTTTGTTCTTCGTTTTGTTCTGCCACAGTGGTTGTTCGCTGACATTACCCGTTTAGATTGACCTGAATGAGTGCCATCTCACCAAGTCTCTCGCTGACTTTGTAAGTTTCTTCACGATCCATCTTCCGCTAGTCGGAGTTAAACTAATGCAGGAAAAGGGCGGTCACTATATGCGCCCGGATTTGATCCGACTGCTGGTGGATACCAACCGGAAGGACCTGGTGGTTCAGGAGGATCGTGTGAATGGGGGGGTCGAATATACTCGAACTGTAGACCGAGTTGGTCTCTCGACGCCTTTGGAGCCTGTCACCCCCTCGGCTGAACAGAATTAAGACCGACTACTTATAGATCATTAAGGTCGTCTCCTCTCTATTAGTATACTTTAGATAGTATTGCAAATATAACTTCAACTTGTACATATACTTCGGTGCCTATTTTGTTTCAATTCTCGGCTATTTAAATGTTTATTTTTATTTTTATTTTGTCGCTACCCTTTGCTTACTTCTGCTACTACTCTTACTTTTTTTTTTTATTTTATCTTTATTTTATCTTTTTTTCTCTATCATTTATCTACAAGTCGTGCCGACACTAACCACGTCCTGACCCGTAATCAAGTGTTAAGCCAGAATCACACACACACAGTGGGGCAGCCTGCATGACTCGCCATGCTTTCTATCAACCCACCCATGTCCATTAGAAATCCCATATCCCTTCGGAGATCTGGCAAGGATCGTGCCACTCCGATGGGGCAATTCCCTTGGTGGGTCTAGGCAACATGCGAATCAGAACTATAGGGTCCTCAAAGTCGGGATCTGACACAAAACCCGCCTTGCAGATACAACGTTTTGGCGGGGTTTGCTCCCGCCGGGATCTGCTGAACCAGGGTCCCATCGGGCTTTGGGCCCGGTTCGTGAATGGCGTGCGACACTTTTTTTCCGGCGCCGGTGTCTGGTCGTTTTTATAGATTTTTATTTCATGTTATCTTTGTTTGGTGATTCTTTATACCAGGTATATTTAGCAAATGTTTTCCCGACGCCCAAAATGAGTTCTTTCGAAGAAAAGGAGAACAGTAGTGCAGCTGCCGCAGGCCGCAAATTTGCTATGCCGCCGGTTAAAGTGGCATGTCTGTCTTGGTAATATAACCATCTGAATAACAATTCTTCGCGACTTTACAGTCATGAGTTGACAGAGACTAACTTGGGCTATCAGTCGATCACGGCGCATTCGCTGCGATGGGCAAGAAAAATGCTCCAACTGCGTTGCCAAAGACAGGCCGTGTCTCTACGTCCCTAGTAACCGGGGGGGGCCGCGCAATTGCCAGAATCGCAAACGGAGGAAGACCGGCGACACGCCACCTTCTCCGATGTCGCTGTCGGATATCGTAGTATCCAGTGAGGACGACGGTATCCAGCAGTTATCTGGTTTGGACGCTGCGTTGACCGGATGGGGATCCGACGAAGATGGTATTACTCCCCCCGCATGCCGTATACTTCGTATGAACTAACCAACGGTAAGTAGATCTGTATAGCCAGTTAGTGAGTATGAGCGAGCCCGGAGCTGGACTCCGGAGCGTGGACAGCTCTATAGAGGAAGTGGGACAGATCTTCGATTGTATCTTCTCTACAGATGAGTCGCATGCCCCTTCTGAGCCAGAACAACCAGTCTCGGACATGGTACAGGTATACGGGAGCAACGAGGACATGTAAGTGCCATATCATGAGCAACAAACGAAACCACTTCCAATTTCCTCCATTAATGCTTGCCAGAATCGATGCCTACTACGTCTTTATCCACATCTACTACCCGATCCTGCCACCTCCAGAACGCCTCCCCGTCACCAACCGCCCCCTTAACGTCAAGTCTCCGTTCCAACCCACCAGTCCCTTGAGTCTCGCCATAGCCGCTCTCTTGGTGCTCATCCCCCGTCCCGACGTAAAGCAGGCCTCAGAAGCGGAATACACCAAGCTCCGTAGAGATCTCGCGCAGAGCTTTGCGCAGTCTGCTTTGGACGCTGTTGAGCAGGATCTGGAACTCCTCGACTCGTCGTCTGACCCGTCCAAGGCTCTTTCTGAAGGAGCGCCGCAACTGAATCGACCGCCTCTACATTCGAAACTGCCTGTTTCGCTGGAAGCCGTGCTAGCACTAGTTCTCCTAAGCACGTATGAGTATGCGCAGCGCGGCAATATACGGAAGTTGTGTAATCGCGCTGGTCAGGCTCTTACGGCTGCCATGAGCGTGTCGCTGCATGAGATGGTCGAGGAGGATGAGTTTTCCGAGGCGAGGAAGAGGGCTTGGTGGATGACGGTATGTCTCCGTTACTTTCTCTGTTATTATATTGTTTTGGGTGTATTTTCGACGGTAGTGCTGACATATTTTTAGTACATCACGGTTTGCCAAGGATCCATAGTCAGCGGAGTGGTATGTATACTTATCTCTTGCACATTCAAAATACTCACAATTTATAGCCTGCTGCGATCAATGTGTACGATCCTCGATTCGTGACGCCATATCCCAAGGTTTGTAGAGTTCTCTGCCAAACTGGATTGCGTTAACCGGGAAAAGGGATGGAAACTACTTATCGAAGCGCAACAAACGATCTTAGAAGCAACAACGTTCGTCCACGATCTCAACGAAACAGCCAAATCGCGCTTCCAAGCCTCGTGGATCCCCAGTCGCATGACGCAACTCGATGCCCAAATCACCCAGCTCCTGCTCATGTGCAGAGAATGCACCTCGTTAACGCCCAACACCCTCGTTCCGATCACAGATTCCCCAGATCAGCTCGCCCTACAATCAATACGTCACATTGCCGAAATCAAACTTCATAGGTCCGTCTCTCCTCCCTCTCACCATTGATCCGATCCTGCGCACATGCCACTAACGCACGGGAAAATAGTTCAAGGATCAAAATCCACCGCTTCTGCGCCTTCAGCGACATCCCCATCTTCCGCAGACGCCACTGCGATCTCGACTCCACAGCCAGCCCTAGCCCACAATGTTGCGGTCTCGCAACACCAACCACCTCCACAGAGCACGCCTCCGCTTCCTCTCCAGGCAGCGCATCCCTAGCCTCCTCCACAGCAGCAGCAACACCACCACCACCCCTAGGATTCCCCTTCTCCTCGCACGAATCCTCCAAAATGTGTCTCCAAGCCGCTCTCAACATTGTCCGCCTCCTCGACAACCTCCCCTACCCAAACCCAGACAGCACCGTCCCGCTTACGTCCCCGCCTTATATGTCCGCCAGCTCCCGCGTCGAGATCCCCCGCACGATGCCGACCTTCGCGTGCTGCGTCATGCAGGCTAGCTACGCTATGCTGATGGTGTATATGAAGGCTCGGCCGATGCACTCAAACGGAGCAGACGCGTTGGACTCGTCTAAGGGTCGTGCCTGGATTGGACTTGTGAATGAGTTGCAGCAGAATTTGCGGGTCGTTTCGAAGACTTTGGCTAATTATGCTATTGCGTCGGAGGCGCTCCGTGGCATGAAAGGTATGGGCTTCCCTCTCATCTCCAGTCCTTGTCGTTTTCAGTTTGGGAATTTGTTGCTGATGGGAAATGTAGATGAGGTCTCGCATTGGGTATTTCTGGACGGTTGATGATTTGTCGACCATTGATTGAACGCGCTATTTGCGCGGGACTTGGTTAGCAGGTTTGTATATTATTATCATTATGTGTTCAGCGATCTGTTTCGGGTCTGTTTCTGCAATGTCTGGGGGAAATTATGAATATTATGAGACACGGCCAATTTTACCACGCACGTGAAGTTGCATAATTGCAGAAATACCCAGAAGGGATGATTTACTTTGGGAATATTTACGAGTCATGAATTTTTTTACTATGTTTGTTCTCATCCTGTATCGAACTACCGACTCCATCGAAAGATAGTTTGATCAGTCTATCACTGTACTAGCCATCTATAACTCACACATCCACAACCCCCACCGGGGAGGCGGGGGGAGCCTAGAACAACCACAATCCCCACTCAAGCCATGTGCAGGACACAGCGCATGCACTAAGCAGACACAAACAACACATAGCACGTTCAATGTGATAGACATGCCGATCCAAGCTAGCCAAACTCAATGGTACGATCTCGGGATCCCGGGATCTGAACAAACCCCTGCCGCGCGCAACATCCGCTGGCTGGCCAGATGCGCCGCATCAACTAAGTCCCGCTTGTTTGCAAACCCCTCTTGCACCAATAACGTGTCATCTGTCTGTTGTGGAGCAAAAGCCGTTTGCTTGACTGCGCGGGCTTTGGACCTGATTTCCAGTATTGCATTGATTGAGCGGGTGGAGTCCATCTGCGACGATCAGGACCGGCCGAGAGGCGTGGCTTGTGGCCTGAGGCAGAGATGGCTAGGTGCCTGAGGAACAAGGATTCAATGATTGCTGCGCTTATCGTTATCAGGACCCCGCCTTTTTCCCCCTCCATACTAGCTGGGATAATCGGGATGTTGTTATGATGGCGCTAAGGGATTTGCGATGGTGCTTCCTTTCTAGCGTCCGGTAGAAATTGTCAAATCACTGCGCGTGTTAAGCCTGTTCAATCTGATTTCTGCTCCATGATGTCCATCACAAACAGCTTCCCTACCCCGGCTGCTCCCAAGGAAGTCGACGTCCTTGTGGTGGGAGCGGGGCTCAGCGGGCTGCGCGCAGCCTTGGACGTCCAGGCAGCTGGGCTGTCCTGTATTGTCGTTGAAGCCATTGATCGCGTTGGCGGCAAGACGCTCTCTGTGCCCTCGAAGCTCAACGGTCCTGGGGTCAACGATATTGGCGCGGCGTGGATCAACGATACGTCACAAAGTGAGATGTACGGCTTGCTTAGGAAGTACGGTCTCCATGGAGAGATTCAGAGGGCTGAGGGAATGAGTCTGTCGCTGACTGCGGAGGGGGTCATTACGCACCCTTATGGTACCTTGCCAGTAGGAATTCCACGGAGAGTTAATTGCTTGTTGGCGCGCTGACACGCTTGCGTTGATTACAGTTAGATGAACACGATCAATTCTTGGTGGCTTCGGTCCTCCAAACTATCCAAGGCCTGGTAGATCAGATTGACCTGGAGGACCCAGCGGCTGGCTCGATCGGGACAGAGCTGGACGGTATGTCCGCGAGCGAATACTGCAGCAAGACATTCCAGTCTGATTTAGTGGTTGGCATCGTGGATACGGTCACCCAATCTTTGCTCGGGGTCGAAGCGGCTTCGATCAGCATGCTGAGCTTTGTGCACTACATCAAGATAGCCACCGGGGTCGATGCTGCCTTGTCTGACGGAAAGAATGGAGGGCAGTATCTCCGGGTTCGAGAGGGTAACTCAACGCTTACCAATTTATCTTCATTCCGCTGATTGGAGTAACAAATCAAGGAACGCAGAGTTTCTCGCGAAAGATGGCGGAAACACTCAATCCAGGTACACTGTTCCTCTCAGCGCCAGTGACATCTATCGAGCAATCCTCACATACACGCATCTGCACGGTCCGCACATCGTCTCCCACAAACAGTACCTTCCACGCCAAGAAAGTCATCCTCTCGATACCAACTCCACTGTACCACAAGATCTCCTTCGATCCTCCTCTGCCAGAAGACAAGGCGCGCCTGGCAAGCAACAACATCCTGGGATACTACAGTAAAATGATATACGTATTTGACCAACCCTGGTGGCGCACAGCCGGCCTCTCCGGCGTCATGGAGACCGACCTAGGACCAATCCTCTTCTCACGCGACACTAGCATCCCCGACGACGACCAATGGTCCATCACCTGTTTTATCGTGGGCAAGCGTGGCCGGGAATGGTCGCTGCTGTCGGCTTCCGAGCGACGTAGAACCGCGTGGGACCAGTTTCGCACTACTTTCGAGAGCGCTTCAGGACTCTCCGGGGAACTCAATGTCCCTGAACCTATCAATGTTCTGGAGGTCGAGTGGTCCAAGCAGGAGTTTTTTGGCGGTGCGCCTTGTCCTGTTTCGCCGCCAGGTCTGCTCTCTTCTGTGGACGCCGCGGCTGCTCGGTGTCCGTTTAAGGGTGTTCATTTTGTGGGAACGGAAACCGCGTTTCTGTGGAGGGGATATATGGAGGGGGCGGTGCGTTCGGGGTTTAGAGGTGCGAAGGAGGTTATTGATCTTTTGAACGGGTAGTGACTGGGGTTGCCTTCTTGAGGACAACCTCACTTCTTCAGTTACTATCCTGTAAATTGCAGGAGACTTCCATGGGCGGTTCTCGTAATGATCGCATCGACAATGATGCCAATGGACGCTAGCAAGTGGAGTTACAATGTAAGCAATGAATAAATCTATTCAGTAAAAGTTAATACGCACAACGCAGAACAATCTGCCCTGGTGTGTGCTGCGCAACTGTTCCCCACCTCGTAGCTTCCTAAACTCGCCGGCAGCAGGAGCAATATAAGTTTACTGCGGGACATAACAATCTCATATCCAAGAGTTGGCCGGTTGGATTAGTTGGTCATATCGTTTCGTTAACACCGAAAAGGTCGCCAGTTCGAACCTGGCACTGGTCACTTATTTTTTGCTTTTGGCTGCTCCGGTCGACGACACGCTTCTGTTTTTCTGTTTTTTTGTTCCTTCTACGGAGTACGGGGTGCTTCATCTGTCCTTTCCTTGGTTCCTTTCTTTCTGCACACTACTCCCTCGTATCCGGATGCCCCGTCGGCCGAGATTATGCCATGCTGATTGGTAACATGTTCGACACCTGAGAATCTAGCCAGTGATTACCCCGCGTCGTCTTCTAGGCAACGGTTCTAGAGCGCGTTGAGAAGCTCATGCAATTCCAAAGGGGCTTCTGAGGGGAAAAGGCGATCTAAATCATCCAAAACACAATGCGTAGGGTTTCAGATGGCATTGTTGTCATTTCCGGCAGTTATTTACAGTAATAGGGACCTTGGTCAAGCTACAAGAGCTGTGATAAATCTCCTAGCTATCATCTGACGCAACACAGCAGTGGTAATGGATCCGATGCTCAATTGCATGCCTGTTAGGGCTGGCAACATGTTACCCTAGACTTTCGCCGTTAGTGATACGTGATGTTTCACCTTGGTTTTTTCAGTACTCAAGGAAGTGAGGAGTGGTCTTGTTAGTTATTCTTTATTATAATAACATCTTATCTTATAGTTCTGTCAAAATCTCTAGCACGGCCCTTTCCAATGATATACGAGGTCATTTCTTCACACCCGATTAGGAAGGGCTGCGGGGTTCTACGGACTGGGCCCGCCCCAACACCCCGGAACAACTCATGCACCGTATGCAATCATACCACTACTCCTATATATACCCATTGACTAGTCCAAGTAAATATCAAGCTCGCATTGTCTAACGCACACTCCCTACAATCCACCCATTCCAAACCCAGCAACATCGCTCCTCCGCATCCAACGCGCCACGATGCCATCTCCAGCATCCCCATCGCCCGTCCATGCCCCGCAGCATGTCCAGGATCTCCTCACTAAGCTACACAAGCAATCCACGGACCAAGAGCTTGCAATCTCCCAAACCAACAAGGTCATCTCGTCAACAGTCATCGGCGACCTCGAGGACAAGTCCTCCAACCGCAATGCGAAAGCAGAATTCGACAACATGATGCGCGACAAGTTCATCGCGCTCGACGAAGACAAGTGCCAATTCGTCTATCAGTTGATTACCGCTATGGGCGCGACGAATGTCGTCGAGGCTGGGACCAGTTTCGGCGTCTCCACCATCTACCTGGCGCTTGCTGTTGCGCAGAATAAGGCGCACACGGGCAAGTCTGGGGTGGTCATTGCCACTGAGAATGAGAGCGAGAAGGCGAAGGTCGCTAGAGGGTATTGGGCGGAGTGTGGAAAGGATGTGGAAAGCCAGATTGAGCTGCGGGAGGGGAACATTCTCGAGACGCTGAAGGGGAACATGCCGCAGGTGGATCTGCTTCTTTTGGATAGTGAGTGATGACTTCAGTCTTCTCTTTTGGGGGGTTTCGGTCTGTAGATACCGCTGGTATGTGCAGGGCTAACTTGGATTGAACCAGTCTGGACTGCCATTGCTCTTCCCACGCTCAAGACGGTTCTACCGCATCTTCGAGCTGGCGCTGTCGTTCTCACCGATAACACTGTCTCCGCGGCGGCGGGATATGCAGATCTGCTGGCTTATATGAGGGATCCGGATAATGGCTTCCGCAATATGACCCTCCCTTTTTCAAATGGCTTTGAGATGAGCGTGTATTTGCCTAGTTTGGCTTCGGAGAAGCACTTCCAAGATATTTGACTTTCGAACATAGGGTTGGTACACCCTTACATTGTCTGGTTTCTGGCAACGGCTTGTCGAATGAATATAGTCCAAACAGACTGATGATTATATTCTACAGTTGCTTGACTGTGTTGTTTCTTATGGCTTGGACCAATATTTGGAATATATAGCAGGCGAAAAAAGAAATCCTTCGATGATCTTTAGGCCATAGACTGTGATATATCCTTACCAGGCAGGAGTACAATAGAAGGCCATCCGTCAGCAAAATGGCAAGTCAACATGTAAAAGAGAAAGGGCTCCAGCATAATAATAGTGAGTATATTAAGCCTGTGACTACACATATTAGCACGACTCTATATCTCGAGCCCGATTTCTTGTCATGATTAGACATAAAGAGAATCGTTTGAAGACAAGTATATTATCCAACATCTTCCACGAATAAATGAAAGATTTTTGATCTTTTTGTAGTACACATAAACACCCCACCATGGTGGATCGTCTATGCATTCATGTTATGCAATTCATGGTGAAATTTATCACAGGATGATACTTGTTGCAAGGCATTTTCCCTCAAACCCTTCATCTGTAGCGTGTCAATAAATGCTCCATTATCTACGACTTGAAGCAAACACAGCGCATGCCATCTTGGATATCTGTTATTGAAATTCAGCTTCTTATCATCTATAGACTCTCCCATCCAACCAAAATCTAATATAATATGATGGTCTTATTATCGAACAACGCCGCGCAATGCTTCAGAGGAGGAAGCTCATCGAGGTCCTCACCTCGCCGATTGACCTCACCAAGTCCAATCTAGCTATCAACGCCACCTCGTTTTCCTTTGCCTGATTATCGCCGAATGCTCTCCTTTCTTTTTCTCCTGTGTAATCTCATTACGACGGATGGATTCAGTGACCCCTCCGAGCTGTTAATTCTCAGGAGTGAGGCTCAAGAGGAACCGCATCGTGTCCAATAAGGATATTGGCTTCGATTATAATCATGCCGCCTACCAGTCTTCCTTATATAGAGAGGTGTAGGACAGGTTCAAGTAACATACGTGAGCTCCATAGCAGCAATATATCAGAGCAATGGCATCAGGAAACGCCAGTGCGAATCAAAACTTCATCTGGGGATGGGTCTCCGGATCCGAGACCAGAGGCACTCTTGACATCGTCTGGAGCTGCGTCTGTACCATCTTTTTGTGCAGCTGGTCGTGTCTCTGTCTCAAAATCCCCACCTCCATCACCGGGCACTTTGGATACCTCGAATACAAAATACACTGGCAACTGTTCACCATCCTCTTCCCCGAAGTCACGGTTGCCATCGCCGCAGAACAGTGGGAGTCGGCAAATCAGTCGGTGGAACATTTTCGCAGCTCGGGCACGGGGCTCGTTGATCCAGAAGCCATGCATTTCTTGCCGATGTGGGTGGAATCAGGATCAAGGCGCCGGACCTCGACGAGCCGCTTGCGGTGACCAGCTACCAGCTAGATTGGCTGGTCGAGCGTCAGCATCTCCCAATGCCGGACATCACCTTGGCCATGGTCGATGATAAAGACCGGAACGATGGGTTTGCTCGTGCAGCCACCTTGGTGCAAATCGTCTGGTTCTAAGTGCAGTGCGTCGGCCGGTGGATCCAAGACATTGGGCTCACGACTTTGGAGCTGACGACCGTGGCGTTCATCTTGTGCACGCTCCACACGTTTTTCTTTTGGTTCGACAAGCCGCAGGACGTCGAGGTACCAATTGATTTCCAAACAACGAGCCTCATATCTGAGATTCTCGCAAGACGGCAGCCAAATGACCAGATCTCCAGCCCTAGAGCTTGTCTTGGTGCGGTACAGCCCCCTCCCGATCCGAGGAGCCTGACCACGCCCTTCTGGTTTGGGGTGGGCGCCGTGTTCAACACCAATACCAGATCAAGCCCAGGGTCCACATGGCGCTTCGAAAACAGCCAAACAACGCCCCCCAAGGGTATCACCACGCCACAAATGCTGTACGGGATCTTGTTCGAATTGGCTTACTTCGGGATGCACCTGGTGGGATGGATCCTTGTCTTCCCCACCACCGCCGAGCGGGTTCCCTGGGCTACAGCCAGTCTCACCCTTCTCGGGTTGCTTCTTCTGTACCTCCTCGCATGGGCCATTGGCCAGCGAGTGGCACCCGCCGCAGCCCGGTTCTTCTTCCATCAAGACGCGACTACGATCATTGAGGTTGCGAGGCTGTTCCCCCGGTGGGCCCAGATTGCTATCCATGCGCCTGTCGTCGTCATCTACGTTCTCGCTCGAGGGTACATCCTCGTCGAGTCCTTTGTTAGCCTTCGGGCCTTACCGAAAGACTTGTATCAATCAGTCCAATGGTCTGACTATATGCCTCACATCTAGCCAAGAGGCTCGTAAAGGGGAGTTTCCTCCACCGCCACCGACCCGATCAATCACAGTTCGCCTGCAAGGGAATCACACGGGTGGGGAAAGCGTGAGATACTTGCTCAGGGGCATGTCCGATCAAAAGTGTCATGTCCACAGAACTATTGATTCGTTGCAGAGGGATCCGTCAATGTTGGAAAAGTCACGGGAATGCGTGTTTGTTGGGGTCTAACCGGATCCAGCTAGATCACGTGGCTGTAGTGCATTGCCTAAATAAGTTAATGTCGATCTCTCCCCCATCCACCAATCAGGAAAGGTCTCTCGGGTTCTCGAGTCCGCTTGGGTGGATTTTCTTTGACTTCCAACTCTCCATGCTGGTCATTCTTCCCCAGGTCACTCTCTTACTTTTCTTGGAGAACGGTCGGGATGTTAGCCCAACACCGACAGGCGGTTGGCCAAATTGCTGCCAAAGTCCGACAATTCTATGACCGCAAAGAGCCTTTTCGGATTTCTCATGGCTCCACCAACAGCACTCGACCGCGTCGCCCGGGGCACGCGCTCGACATCAGCAAGCTGGCCAATGTCCTAGAGGTCAATGCAAAGGCGCGGACCGCGCTGGTCGAGCCGAATGTCCCTATGGATCGCCTGGTCGCGTCCACTTTGAAGTACGGGCTGGTGCCGCCCGTGGTCATGGAGTTCCCCGGCATCACTGTCGGCGGCGGGTACGCTGGCACGGCGGGGGAAAGCAGCTCGTTTCGCCACGGGTTCTTCAATGATACGATCAACTCTGTGGAGATGATTCTGGCGAATGGCGAGATCACCCGGGCGTCCCCGACGGAGAACTCAGATCTCTTCTACGGGGCCGCTGGTGCCGTGGGCAGCTTGGGGATCACTACCATGGTGGAGCTGCAGCTGATCGAGGCCAAGAAATACGTCAAGGCGACCTATCATCGAAAGGGCAGTGTGGCTGAGGCGATCAAGGATATCCAGGCGGAGACGACCAATGATGCGTACGATTATGTGGACGGGATGCTTTTCTCAAAAGAACACGGTGTGGTGGTCACGGGGGAGATGACCAACGAGAAGCCTGACGACACCAATCTGCAGACCTTCAGCGATCCCTGGGATCCGTGGTTCTATCTCCACGTCAAGGACAGAACCAATGCCAGCCCTTCCCCCGTCACCGAATTCATCCCGCTGGCCGAGTACCTCTTCCGCTATGACCGAGGCGGCTTCTGGGTCGGCGCGTCCGCGTTTGACTACTTCAAATTCCCCTTCAACCAGTATACCCGGTGGTGGCTCGATGACTTCTTGCACACGCGCATGCTGTACAAGGCACTCCATGCCAGCGGAGAATCCAGCCGCTACATCGTGCAGGACCTGGCGTTCCCCTATTCGACGGCCGAGCAGTTTATCAACAAGGCCACCGACTCCTTCGGCATCTGGCCCCTGTGGCTGTGCCCGCTGCGCCAGACGCCCCCGCCCACGATGCACCCCCACACGGGCGAGGTCGAAGCCGACGGCAGCCCGAAGCCCATGCTCAATGTCGGGCTTTGGGGCTGGGGCCCGACGGATCCCAACACCTTTATCTCTGCTAACCGTGAGCTCGAGCATCAGATCCGGAGCCACGGGGGCATGAAATGGCTGTACGCTCACACCTACTACCCGGAGAACGAGTTCTGGAGCATGTTCGATCGCCCGTGGTACGACGCGCTGCGGGAAAAATACTCGGCTACCAGTCTGCCCAGTGTCTATGACAAGGTCAAGATCGATACGCAACGGACCCGTCAGGAGAGCAACTCATCGTGGGGGAGCTGGCTGCGGTCCCAGTGGCCTTTTGGTGGCATGTATGGGATCCGGAAGGCGATCCAAAGTAAAGAGTATATGCATCATAGAGAAACGCCTTGGAAGGGGATAAACGAGCGCGATCCCAACTCATCTTAGGTCAGGTCTTGTTGTAAATAGATTCGTCGAATGTATATAGACTAATGCATCATAGTCAATAGGCATATGTCTGACTATATTATTTTCTGGGGCAGCCGAGTTTGGCTCTATGAGCTCTACCTGGGATTTTTACCTCCGAGGGCTCTGTGAGGACCACGTCGGCCTAGCAACATCAGTAAGGTGTTTGCGTCGGTTTATCGATTTCCTATTCAGTAAGTTCCACGATGATTGATCGGCAACCTGCATAGTCGGCCTTCCCTATTCCGTACTCCGTAGGTTCCACCCAGTTTATCATGTCATCATGATAGTGGACAGGCTCCTCAAGCTTACGAATTTAAGTAATACTTATATACCCGGTCAAGGGAACCTCGCGGCTCTTGAAACACAAACATCTCCTATCCTATACTAACACTTGTTTTCGATATGGTCAACCTCAAACTTCTCGCTCTGGCGAGTGCTGTTGGGGCTGTCGGTTCAGCCACCCCCTCGATCCGATGGACGGACTGCCCTGAGAGCCCCTCGGATCAATTTCGATGCACCAACCATACAGTCCCACTGGACTGGGCCAACCCCCATGGGCGGAAGATCAACCTGGGGATGGCTATGATGCCAGCAACCAACAAGTCGCAGCGCATCGGCTATCTCCTGTTCAACCCAGGCGGACCTGGCAACGCAGCAACCACTGATCTGATGACGAACTCCGACATCTGGGAGCACAGCAAACTCCACCAGTATTTCGACATCGTCGCCCTCGACCCGCGCGGCACAGGCCAAAGCACTCCCATCCAATGCGATCCCCACGCCTGGAACGTCCGTGTCCCCGAGTTCCCGCGCACGCCCGCCCAGTACCACGAAATGACCCAAGCATACAGGGCCATGGGTCAGAGCTGCGCCAAAAAGAGCGGCGACCTACTCAACTTCGTCGACACAGCGAGCGTAGCCAAAGACTTCGAAGCCGTTCGCGTCGCCCTCGGAGACGAAAAGCTCACCTATCTCGGCTTCTCGTACGGCACCCAGCTCGGCTCCCAGTACCTCGAGCTCTTCCCCGACAATGTCCGCGCCGCTGTCCTCGACGGCGTCCTCGACCACTCCCAGCCCGAGATCTACGCCTGGGAGTCAGAAGCCCTCGGCTACGAAGTCACCCTAAACCGGTTCCTCCACTGGTGCGCCACCGACCGGTCCTGCGCCCTACACAACACCACCCGGCTCCCCGCCAAGTTCGACTCCTTCATCGACCGCGCCAACCGCGCCCCCATCCCTGCCCCCAGCTGCTCCGATTTCTCCTCCGACAACTACCCCTGCCGCTCCAACGCCACCGGCCACGAGATCCTCCGCAACCTTCAAGCAGCCCTTATCTTCCCATACGACGACACCCCGGAGTACGGCCCCGGCTGGGCCGCCGCGTCGGCCTCCCTGCGCGACGCCATGTTTCACAACGACTCAAGCTCCTTCTCCTACCCCGTCTACAGCGAACAATCCAACTCTGACTTCAGCTACGTCTCCATCGTCTGCCAGGACTGGCTGCGCGCGCAGTGGTCCGCAGATGACTTTTTCTTCAAGGTCCTCGCCGGCGAGGCTATGACCCCGCACACCCGCGGCCAGGGCGAATTCTGGTACCTCCAGGCGAAGTGTCTGCATTGGCCTGCGCCTGTCACGAACCCGCCGCGTGAGTTGACGTCTGCGTTTGCAAATAGGACGCTCGACACGCCTGTTCTCTTGACGAATGCGCTTTATGATCCTGAGACGCCGTTCCAGTGGGCTCTTTCCGTGAAGAGACAGTTTGGCGATCGTAACGCCGTGTTGGTTGCGAGGAATGGGAGTGGGCATTTGAGTTACTTCCATAAGGGGGATACGAGGGATGCGATTGATGACTATTTGATTGGGTTGAAGGTGCCGAAGAGTGGGACTGTTTTGCAGTCTTAGCCTGGCATAGTGAGATGTATTGATCGTACGGCTCAACGTAGCATACTATTAATTGGTGGAAAACAGAAGCCTGTGCATTGCATTTAGAGATAGCCTGATTGTATACTTGCTTTTTATACTGCTCTACATTGGCTAGATGCTATATATTAGATTTTACTGACCGCTTGGATGTATACTATCCTCTAATAGCAATTCTACATATGTGTATACCGTCCGGGGCCAACAATTCAATCCGTGTCTACTCAGGCCCCAACAATCCCGCCCGTCCCTCACATGGCATCACTACCATTCGACCCAGACGCAGGCGCTTAATGTAAAAGATCGTCATAGTGAGCGAACCTATTAGTAGCTCATACGCAAACCCACCTCAGCGCGTAGATGTATATCATCACGTGCCAATGGGACCCCGCAATCGTATTTGATAGCCTGAGACCCCAGCCTTGCCCTGATATCTAGCTAGGTATTTCTCAGGGGCATAGCTTATCTATGTATTTCTTGAACTGCGTTCCAAGAAACCTAGGCAATTGACCGAGCTCATCGTGCAAGGACCACAAACCATGCTGTGCACAACCTGCCGCCAGATCTTCTCCGGTTTTTTCAGCCAGAGGACGTCAGCCCACCACATCTACCTTCAGAAGCTTGAACAAGCAGCTCTTGACAATTGCTACATATGTCAGGTGTTGTGGCGTACGGCTTCTGACCAGCCACCCCGGTTGTCCGGAAAGTTTGAAAATCCAAAGTCTAAGCCAATTTCAAAGTACTGCTTTAGCCGCAAGTCTGCCGATGGGAGTGAGATCTTGGAGCTGGAGTTTGTGGTTGACAGAAATGGAGTTGAGGATGGAGGGAGCTGTGTGGTTTTCTGTTTGCAGAGCATGAATGGTAAGATTGGACTGCGAGTGTGCGGGTTCTTGTTCGTGGGCAATGTATTAACGTATACTTAGACGCCGACAGTATTGATGTCAATGTGTCTTCGAGTGCCCATACTTGGGAATCCAGCGTGCAGAACGCGTCGAAATGGCTGTCTGAGTGCTTGGATGGTCACGACAGATGCCGTATGTCGCCATTGTCGGGCTATACTCCCACACGGCTCATCCAGATCGGATCGCCGTCTGCCGACAAGATTCGTCTACTGCTCCACCCCAGTGAGCAAGGAATTGTGTTGCGATATGCAACTCTCAGTCATTGCTGGGGGGCTTCGCAGGCCTCTGAGTTCTCTTCGTTGACTTCGGCTTCAAGGGACGTCTTAGAAGAGGGCGTCAGTATCTCGGATCTAGATCCAGTGTTTCAAGATGCTATATACACAGCTCGATCTCTGGGCCTCCACTTCCTCTGGATGGATTCCCTATGCATATTCCAAGACTCCATTGCAGACTGGCACAAAGAGGCGCCTCTCATGAGTCACGTATACGGAGGTGCAGTCTTGAATATAGCAGCGAGCGTAGCAGAAAAAAACGAAGCCAGCTGTTTTCCGGAAAGGGACCTATCGTTAATTCAGCCGTGCGTTATAGAGCCTTCTTGGGATAATTTTGAAAATGATGTCTACAATATCTACTACACCGGATTCTGGGACGACACATTCGAAAGCCTTCCTTTGATGGAACGGGCGTGGGTTACGCAGGAACTACTACTGGCGCCACGGGTCCTTCATTTGACTGGATCGCAGCTGTTCTGGGAATGCTACGAGTTAAACGCGTGCGAAGCATATCCGGGTGGCTTGCCACCAAACCTTCCAGAGAGGTGGATGATGAGAGACACTTTGTGGACCATACTGCACAGTGCGAGGCGTGGACCGGAATCCAGGGTGATGACCGCAGTGCCTGAAATACGAGACGCTATGAGAGAAAGCTGGGCGAACATTGTGGAGGTCTACACGGCGTGTCAATTGACATATCAATCAGACAAACTTATGGCTCTATCTGGGTTTTCGAGGGTCATGGAACGGGCGCTCCACGACAAATACTGCGCTGGGTTGTGGAGGTCAACCCTTATTACTGACTTGTTTTGGCTCGGTCCATGCAATGGACTAGAACTCTGCCCGAGACCTAGCCCCTACCGCGCACCGTCGTGGTCATGGGCAAGTCTAGATGGTCGTGTCTCTTTACCATCTGCATACAACGAACAGTACGAGGATCTCGAGCCATTGGTCGACATAATCAGCTGTGAAGTTCAAACCGCCACGCAAGATCCCTTTGGGGCCGTTACAGGTGGACTTCTGAGGCTTTCTGGATCCCTTACAACTATCGAACTTCGTTCAAGAACTGATGGCGGGTGGCTGGTTTTCTTCGATGGCACTTGGTGGAAAGATGGAGGGGGTCTTTTCATCAGTGTCGACTGTGCTCCTACGACAGATCAGCTTCATTGTCTTCCGCTTTACCTTGATACACACCAGTCACCAGAATGGAACGTGGCTTGTCTTCTGCTTGAACCTGCTGAGAAAACAAGTGGTCAGTTTAGACGGGTGGGTGTTCTGAATGCTTTCTCCAAGGCACTGGGCATGGATGTATGGACGAAATTTGAGGATCAAAAGAAGGCAAGTTGGTTCGAGTACGAGTCTATGAGCAAGGATGGAAGATACGAGATATCTATTCTATGAGACTCATGTAGGATTCTCTTTGTGGGGTTAGATCTTCTCAAGGCCCCTACGCCAATCCGTTGGCCAACGTTTGGTATAGGGTTTAACCTGACTGACATCCCAACATATATATCTTAAACTATCCCGTGTCTGTCCAGCCAGGCCTCCCAATTCTCCTTATATAGTTAAACAACTCCAGAACCAATTTCACAAGCAGATAAACAGCGAGCTTATAATACTCCCATGCTAAAGTATAATGTCTTTTATTTTTTTCCTTTTCTTCCTTTTCTGGTATCTTTCCGAAGTTCATGTTACTACGATATATACCACTGGGGTACTTCATGATGATAGTAAATCTCCATCTTAAGACCCGAACAACTCAAGCTGCAATTGCATTCATTATGATCGACGATTGTCACATTAGCTCCAAGTGTATATATGTAGAGGCTTATCAGTCTGTCTAAGTCATTCATATCTGTTCGGTTTTTTATACTTCAGCCATCATCACATGATACATAATTAAGTATATGTTTAGTAATACGGTTCATTAAGTGACGCTCCATTGCATAATCCAACTTCACATCAAACAATTTGCAGCTCACCAGCATCATCTTCCCTCGCATTCCTGTATTCTTCTCATGAGGTCAATTAATAGCTCATTTCTACTTCACAAAAACCACGCTCAGTACCAATACCCCGCCATTCAGTCGATTGCTCGCAACCAACCCCCGATCTGCACCTCCGCAGCTCCTCCGGCCCCGATGCGAGCGTAACCCACCTCAGCTTTATCCCACACCTCCTCCCACCACCGCAACCCACCAGGATCGCCAGGAAGAATAAAACATAACAAAATGGCCCACTCCAAACGCAACACCTCGCTCCCCCACTTCACCTCCTACGAACGAGGCCTCCTCCGCTCAACATGGGGCACCCAACGCGGCGTCATCGGCCGCGACTCCTTCCTCCCGTTCGGCTCCTGTCGCCTCTGCCTGCGCCCCGCGCGCGCCCCCGTCGTCGCCTGCGCCACCAATGGCGACCTCTTCTGCCGCGAGTGCGCCATCAGCGATCTGCTTGCCCAGCGCCAGGAGATTAAGCGGTTGGGGAAGGAGCGCGCGGACGCGAAGCAGCGGCTTGCGGAGGATGAGGAGCATACGCTGGAGGAGGCGAGGCAGCGTGAGTTGCGCGAGTTTGAGCTCGTTAGTATGGGGTTGGGTGGTTCGGGTGGGACGCGGCAGAATGAGAATCATAAGAAGAGGAAGGCGGGGGATGATGGGGCGGCTGAGGAGGCGGCGTTGGCGGCGTTTAAGAAGAGGGAGGTTGTTGTTGGTGGGAAGAGGAAGAAGGTGTTTGAGTTGGATGAGGGGGAGATGAGGAGGATTGCGCGCGAGGAGCAGGAGCGGTTGACGAGGGAGTTGAAGAAGGAGAAGGTTAGTCCTTTTTTTTTTTTCCTGGACGATGAGGAGGAGAAGGGAGAATTTGGCTAATGGTGATAATGACAGCTGGACGAGAGCAAATCGGCCCTGCCCTCCTTTTGGGTTCCCTCGCTCACGCCCTCCACTGACCCGAACGAGATCGCCGCCAACAAGACCGTCAAACTGAACCCCATCTGCCCTGCGTCGACCGACGACAACAAGCACAGCTACTCGCTCAAGTCCCTCGTCGAGGTGCATTTCACCGAGGAGAAGGCCTCCGACGGTTCCCCGTCGAGGGTCTGTCCGAGTTGTAAAAAGACGCTGACCAACGGGCTCAAGGCTTTCTGTATGTATCTGCTCACTTCTTGTGACTTATTATTTGGAGGATGTGCTAACGTGATGTGTGTAGTAACCAAACCCTGCGGCCACGTCATGTGCTCGCCCTGCGTCTCGAAATTCATGACACCTCACGACGCACCCGACCCTCATGCCACCAAGGAGGAGCAGGCGCAGACGGCGGCGCTGCATGGCCGGATCCTTTGCTACGTTTGCGAGACGGATATCACCCCTCGGGACTCGAATGGGGAGGCTGCCGACGGCAGCAAAAAGAAGAAGAAGAAGAGCAAGGACAAGGAGGGGATTCAGCCTGGGCTGGTGGAGATTAGCTGCGAGGGGACGGGCTATGCTGGTGGTGGGGGTAATGTCGCAGTCAAGAAGGGCGTGGCGTTTCAATGTTGATGTATATACTTCTATGGTTGTTTGGGAGTTGGGCTTCTATTGTATATCTGGCTGACTGGTTGGGACCGGAGTTTGTCGATGTTTTCATTTCGTTTGTACAGTTTAGGTGGGATTTATCTAGATCTATGTCTGCAATGCTGAAAATGCTATCATGCCCCTCGCTGGCGTTCCAGCCACTGATGGTCTATGATCAAAGCTCGTAAATACAAAACCCGGCACGTGCGGCCTGAAGAGCGCCTGGACTATAAACATGATACACCCAAGGGAAGTAGGAAGCAAAAAAGAAAAATACACAGGCGATCGGCACCCATCAAGAACCACGTCCTCTCATCATATATAACATGATTAAGACCGCTTGGCCGCGTTGTTGAATTCGCGCACCACGATCTCACACTTGATCTCCTGGCACAGACGCTTGCGCCGGCTGGGTTCCAGGCGAGCGGCGAACTCGAGGCCACTGGCGCGCTCGACGACCTCGACGGGGACCTCGAACTCGGACAGACGCCTGTCGTTGGAGATGCGGGCGTTGGGGAGCACGAAGGCGCCGAGGGCGACCTTGCCGGCGGCGGCGGCGGGTCCCTCCTCGGCGTAGATGACCTTGTAGAAGTGGGTGGGGACGGCGACGTTGGGCGGGTTCCCGATCATCTCGTAAGAGACGCGCCACTTGCCGTCGGGGTCGCGGTGCGGCAGGTACAGCGGGCCCGTCACGATGCGCACCGACGGGTAGCGCTTGGCGAGGTTGCGGCAGAAGTCCTCAAAGTGCGCCCAGTAGTCGCGGTTGAAGCCCTCGCCCACCTGCGGGCACATGTTGGACAGCGCGAAGGTGCCGTCCATGGCCTGCTGCGACCACTTGGCGTCCGCCGCCGGCACCTGGTGGCCCCGGTCGTAGCCCGAGCGGAAGTAGTCGGCCAGCTTGGCGCGGAAGGCCGGCGGGATGGTCGTGTCTTCGAAGAAGGTGCTGTGTTTGCGATCCGCGTTTTTGAGCGCCAGGGAGGCCGGCGTGATGTGTTCTGCGACCCAGGCGGGGTTCCGCGTGCGACGGTCATATGCGCCCGCGAGCGGTGCCGAGCTCAGCAGGTCGGCGACGGGGCCCGGGAAGCCATATTGGTAAATGCCGTGCGGGTCGACGGGGCCACCGGGGGGTTTGGAGGCAAGGGAGGGCGGTGTCGGGGTGGTCGCGGGCACATTTGACGTAGTTGTCGCCGACGGAGGAGGAGGAGGAGGAGACAGTTTCTGAGCTTGCTGCTGAGGCCGGGGAGAGTAGAGCAGGGCAGTCAGACCGGCGCCCGTAGCCGCACTGGCGGCGGCGATGGCCGCGACGGTGGCTTTGGACATGGACAGGATGTCGGTAGATGAGTATAACCGGAGAAGAAGAGAAAATCGAAAGGAATGGGAGAGAAAAGGAGGAGAGGAGGAAGAGGAAAAGGTGAGGAGGAGCAAGAGGGGAAGAAGAAGAAGAGATGAGGAGAGTCGGAGGTGAAGAGGAGAAAGTTCGGGGAAGAAAATGCGGATGGCAGTGAGGCCTGAGGCGGAGAACACAGGATTCTACACAATCAAACCATACGATAGACGACGGTGAGGATATACTATCTACTTCAATAGGAGCTTTCATACAATTCTATGGTGGAATTCCACCAGCGAAATCAAATATCCAAATCTATAAATCAAGAGTTTAGAGTAAACAAATAGTGAACCATGCACGTATACATGGATAGATTATGTAATCACACCGTTGGCAGTTATGCACTCCAGACCGATTTCTCCAATTCTCGAGATAAATCAAACAACACTGATAACAATTATAACTAATGGTATATACGGTAGATAGCATCGGCTATTCGAATACCCCTTACATCTATTCTATACAAATGATATAATCGAGAGTAGTACGGTGTGTTGGATGACTCCGACCCGCATGATATCATCCACAAGGTCCTTCCGTCTCCCAACGCGGCAACGCTCGCTCTTCGTCGCCTTCACTTCCACTTCTCTTCTCTTCTCCTTCTTACTTCTCCCTCAGTCTTCTTGCACCCCTCTTTCCGTCCTTCTGTATCCGCTCACCAGCTGTTTCCGCAGCATAGATTCACCCACCCCGTCATGGCGCCTAGCAATGATACCCGGGGTTGGGTTATGAGCACCGTCTCGGGCATCGGTCAGTGATTTCCTCTCTACTTGCCTCTTCGGGCCTCGAGAATGAAGTCAATCAGCCAAGAGGATCGTGCAATGCTAGGAATGTGTCACTAATGCGAAACCATTCAACAACAGCCTGTGTCTTGGGTGCCTCCCTGGTATGTGCGGATGTGCTGTTACGCCGCTTCTCGCATCAGAAGAATTTTCAGATCGTCAACAACAATGGCTTCCTATCGGCCTCTCTCTGCTTGAGCGCCGGAGTCCTGGTAGGCGTGGACCTTCTGGATCGCCGTGATCTCCAATTAATAGCCCTCGACAGCTCTTTACCTCGCTCTACAGCATGCTCCCCACCTCCAACAAATATCTGATTCGAGCGGGGTTCTCCCCCTCCGCCGCCGCCTTCTTCCTGATCGGCCTCTTCCTGGCCGGTGTTGTCATCATTCGCGTCCTGTCCGCCTTCCTTCATAAATACATCCCCTCCCACGTCGTCGATTGCGACCATACCCATGAGCCACACGCGAACGAGGATCCCGGACACGGACATGGCCACCACCCCCACCCCCACCCCCACACACACCACTCTTCCGAGCACACCCCCCTCCTCGCACCCGCGCACAAATCGACCACCGGGGTCGTCGCACCGCCTCACGCGCACGAGGAGATGCCTTCAAGAGCCTTCCGTCAGGAACCTTGGCGGATGCGCCTGGTAAAACAAGTCCGCGGCCTCGTGGGTGGGGTCAAGGCCCACTGTGATGAGGATGGCCCGTGTTATGGCTTTTCCCAGGCGTGCGGCCATGAATGCGCCAAAACGATCCTGGATCCCACGGCGGACGTCGAGAACGGCCGTCCGTCCGTGATACACTCGCGCAGTCTTCCGGCGCGACCGGTCGCCGCCCCACTGGACGCTCACAACGCCGAGATCCCCGCATTGACCTGGGTGCCCCCGGAGCCCAGCTCGTCGGCCTCCTCCCATATCGGACTGGACGGCACAGCCGACCCGGACCTCGCCGCCAAGTCGACGGGCCCCGCGACCGCTCAGCATCACCACCACGTTCCGCAAAACGCCTTTCTGTCCATCGGCTTGCAGACCTCAATAGCCATTGCGCTTCACAAGCTACCGGAAGGCTTTATCACCTACGCCACCAACCACGCCAGTCCGCAGCTCGGCGCAACGGTCTTCCTCGCCCTGTTCATCCACAACATCAGCGAAGGTTTCGCCATGGCATTGCCCCTCTATCTGGCCCTCCAGTCCCGCGGCAAAGCCATGTTCTGGTCCAGCCTCCTGGGTGGGATCAGTCAGCCCGCGGGAGCCGGCTTGGCCGCCCTGTGGATCTGGACCACCCAGCGAGCCGCGCCGGGGGAGTCTGCGCCGGACCCTTCCTGGGGCGTGTACGGGGGCATGTTCGCCGCCACGGCCGGCGTCATGACCTCAGTGGGCTTGCAGCTGTTCAGCGAGGGACTGGGACTGACCCACCACGGCGGAATGTGCATCGGGTTCGCGATTGGTGGAATGGGTTTGATGGGATTGAGTTTCGCCCTGACTGCATGAGTATTGTTATCTTCTAGCGTTCGATACGATTTTCCTGCGAGGCCTTCCTCCGAACGACTATATTTAGCTTGCATCGTACGCCGTGAACGTGATCTGGCATCCGGAATGGCTTGCATTTGGAGTTGGTTTACGGTCTGATCTTGTAACGAGTGACGAATGGTCTGGACATACAGATTTGCTTTCTTTCTTTCTTTTTTTCTTCAAGTTTGGGTTTGGAATCATTGCCTACTGGTGGGCATATCGGTTATTATACCACTAGTCATAGTAAATGCGATCATTGAGTTTCGTGAGCAGTTGGATACGTTGAATAAAAGTAACCGATTGGTGCAACCTGAGGTCTGTCCTGGAAAAAGCCCATCGGAGTGGCATACATCTCATAATCTATGATACAACTATACAAGCCCGTACTGTACAAACGCCATGAATGCAACTCCTAACCCCACATCCAAAACGAAAACCAAGGATTGAGTACCTAGGTTTATTTACCCTTAGCAGCAGCCTCCCGCTCCTTCTTCCGCGCCAGGAACCGCTCGCGCGCACTCGAGACATCGGTACCACTCTTGCGACTGCGACTGCGCTCCTCCAGCTCCTTCTGCTTCGCCGCTTCGGCCGCCGCCTCCTCCTGAGCTTGCTTCTCCAGCTGCGCCGCGATCATCTCCGTCTGGCGCGCGCGCTGGCCCGCACGACCCGACGCTGGCGCCCCGTCAACCCGCGCCTTGGCTGCCGGGCGGGCAGCTCCACCACCCGGCGCCGCCGAGGGCGCCGCCTTCGGTTTAGGCGCCACGTTGAGGCCCGCAGAGAGCAGCTGGCGCTTGTCCACCACGCTACCCTCATCATTGACAGCAACGCGAGCCCCACGCGCATTCAACTCGGCAGCCACCTGCGCCTCCGTCTTCTCCTTGCTCGCTTCCTTCCTAGCCTCTTCCTCCTCCTCCGTCCCAGCAACCCCCTCCTTCACCCTCTTAGCAGCCTCATCCGCCGCACGCATCGCAGCGGCATGCTCCTCCTCACCCCTCGACAACACATCGCGGTAAAAGCCCAACATCCCCACATCGCCGTTCTTCTTCCGCCGCTCGGCCTCCGCCCGCTCCTTCTCCGCCTCCTCCTGCTCCACCCGCCTCATCTCCTCCTGCTGCGCCTTGTAAGCGGCCGTCACGAACTTCTCCTTGTCCGCGAACTCGTCGCCCTCTGCCTCGCGCTCCTTCGCTAACATGCGGTCTCGCGCGCGCAGCTGGTCCCGCTTGCGCACTTCGGCGCTGCGGAGGAGGGAGGTCATGTAGCGTGGGACTTCTTCTTCGCCTTCTGCCCCGTCCTTCTTTTTGTTCTTTTGGGGCTTCGCGGCTTGGAGGCTGTCGTAGACGGCGTCGTAGGAGTAGATTGAGGGGTCGAGGTCTTCGGCTTGTTGCGCGTGTTTGCGGCTGCTGTGGAGGGCGGAGAGGTTGGTGTATTCTGCTGTGCTGGGTTTGCTGGGGTTTAGGCCGAATTGGACTCCGGTGTTTTTGTCGAGTTGTTCACTTGTGTTGTTGGTGTTATCGTCATCGTCGTCGTCGTCGGCGAAGATGGAGCTCTTGTTTAGTGGCTTCGCGCTGGGTTTGGCGGCCGCTTGTTGTCCGAATGGGATCTTGCGCTTTGCGGGTGGAGGCGCTGTGGATGGGGATTTGGTTGATGGGGCTGGTTGGACGGGTTCTTCTAGGCCCCCGATGCTGGTAATCTCTACTGCGTTGTCGCCGCTGCCTTTACTCTCTGCTGCTGCGTCTTCGTCCGAGTCGTCGTCGAAGATGGTCTTCTTGCGCTTTTGGCCTAGCGATGGCGGGGGTCGCGCCCCGGGGGGTTTCTTGCCGGGGAGGTTTAGTCCGAGGGATAATTTAGGAGGCATCTTCGTTCTTATTTGATGTTATATCTGGGTACACCTGTCGGGACCGAGTATGCAAGTTTGCGCGATGAGAGCGGACGGGTTCGTTCATCGAGACCGATGATTGGGGTGGTGTCACGTGTAAGCTCTATCTTATCACACGTGACGTATACTCCTATCTCCGCATCGTCCCAGCTGTTCCTCCGCCAAACGTTGGACCTCCGATTGACGCCGCAATATCGATCTATCTACGCGCCGCTACAGGACAGACATACGGAACAATGTCGTACTACTTTACCATCCTCTCCCCCACCGACGCCCCGCTGTTCAACATCGCCTTTGGCACGTCTAAGAGCGGCGGCGATGGCATTGCCCGCTTCCGCTTCCCTGACACCGCGCAGTACATGAACCAGTTTATTATCCACTCTAGTTTGGATATTGTTGAGGAGGCGCAGTGGATGAATGGGAATATGTATGTCCCTTTTCTCTTTACATATTGATATATATATATATATATAT